CCGCAATGTAACATCGCCCTGGGACTTTGTGTGGCATTATTGGACCAGGCCCAGGCTATGCCTGTTCAAACGCATGTGGCTAATCAGGCTATAGATTGTGATAGATCTAGCAGAAGCCCTAGCGTCTGGCTTCAAACAAGGGAGTACGACACTTGCACGGGAGCACAACATACTACGAAAAATTCAAATTACACTTTCATTCAAGAGCCGTCCCTGCGATCAGGCCAGAGGAGTCAAAGAGAAGAAAGGTTAAATCCACAAGAATGCCTTGAGAGATCACGAAATGAGTGCTTTGAGAGCTGTGAGGTGGTGATTCGATTCGATGCCCCGTGCTCCATACCGGTATAACACCGTCTCCCTCGGACCATCAACGGCTCGGGACGCCAAGAGGGTGGCCGGAACGCACATCCGGGGACCGGTATATGTTGGCTGCAGACTTGTGGCGCTTCTGGTCGTTTCCATCCCTTCGTGTACGAACTCACAGGTGACGGCATGCAGCATCCGTGGACGTGGCAGCCCAAGATGCGTCGCCTATACGAGAGATACACGTACCAACACTTGAGTAGTAGTATGAAAACGCAGTTCATACTCTCGTGCAAACCCGAGGGAGAACATTCTCGTTCAAGGGATGGATTGCTCACCGCGGTTTGGGCTTGGCGAACCAGGAGGAAGCTCGCTTGGTCTGCTGACAACGTTGGAGACTTTCAATTTCATACCCTGCCGTGGCGTTCCAGCACTTGACGTGGTAGCCCAGACATTCGTGGATGCAAGTCCTGGAGTAGCTGAAGAAGAAAGAAAGACGACATAACACTACCTCGGTACAGCTATGGCGGCAAGAGGAGTGAGCCAGAATGACAACCGCCGAGAAGCATTCAAAGGAGTAATAGCAACAGCAGCAGACGGCTTTCAAAGCCGCGAAGGAGCTGACACGATCAGCTGAAGGCAGCTTGACCAGTTTTGAAATTTGAGAGCGCGACTTTAGCTCTATTCAACTAGTCCCCAAGTGCCTGACCTGGAGGACTGTTAGCCGACCCAGACAGACACTAATATCGAGGGAGGTATGGCCAGGTACTACTCGCAGGCTAAAGATAAGGAGACTGACGGGTGTGCTCCCCGTAGGATGATCGATATATCCACTCCAGACATGCTTGGACGTGGTTTTCAAGGTCAGCTTGACCCGAAACTGTGTTCCCTTGCTCGAAGCACGGCCGTAGCCGAAAACAGCCCTGCGGGCCATTGTTTCACCTTTCAAATCGTTCCGGACACTCTGTGCTTTGCCATGTGACAAGAGCCTCTGCTGCCGTTCTACCGCTCCAGTGGTCTGTTTCTTGGCAAACGCCGTGCGTGAGGCGATACTGTCCTGCTGAAACACGGTGGTGGTGTTGATGACGCTAGGGAGGAGGCTCAACGACTCTCAACTTAAGACATGAGAGCATGGCCCAGCAACTTCATGTCGGCAGCAATTTGGGGGCGGCGAGCTTGCCAACGCAAGACTCATGCCAGCGAGCCTGACTGAAGTCCGATCACCAGCGATCCTGCCCACCTCATGACAACGTGACGGCAGAAAGCAAGGAGGCAATGATAGCAGCAAGTCGGGGCCAGGACTGCCTCTGCTGGGCACGGAGGACTCGCAACTGACTACGGAACCGGGTGCGTGTGCCCAGCTAACTCGAGCATGCCGGGTACCGTACTAAAGCACGTATCTAACGATTAGTACCTGACGATGCATGAGTGCGTGGTCAGGTCATGTGCTACACTGCATATAGTATGAGGTCCTAGGCAGAAGATGCGGTGGTGGTCAATGTAGGTTTGAGGCAGCTCGGAAGGGGAATAAGGTATTAACAGCAGACACTGATTGAACAGATGCCCGCCGCTCATTGGCGGGCTATTTGGAGCATCAATGAGTACGGAATACGCAAGCAGTACTTCTGCCAAACCGTCCAAAATTCTACGCTACGGAGCAGGAGTACGGAGAGGTACTCGGTACTCGGACAGGCAAGGCCACGGTTGGCTTAGACGGGGATTTCCGCAGGGAAGGAGCTGGAGAGGGGGGGTGCGCTGAAGATCTGCCCGTAGCAGTTGAAACGGTGATGTGGCCCAGCTGATTGTACCATGGCGGAACCTGGATGTTGTTGGGGGCGCTGTGGGCGACCGGGTACTGCTAAGGTATTGTGGCGCCTCCAGCTCCGTTACAGGTAAGGTACCTCCAGCACCTCCAGCACTTGCCATGTCCCTGACCGTGTGCTGCGTGTACTTCGCGCCTGCCTTACCTCGAGCCCTCGACACTCAACAACACCAACCACGCCCCCTCCCTTTTCTTCTTGTCCCCTTCTTCAACCCTTGTGCTTGCACTTTGCTTCCGTGGTTCTCCGTAATATGGATCGAGGGACGGGATTCCGACCTGCTGCATGGTAGCATCAATGCTTGCCAGGATACGCCATACTACTCATGTTTCGTTGTAGGCACCCAAATGCAAGGCCGCGATACGCCGGGACCCGTTGGACAGTACGAAGCGGTCTGTGGGTGCTTGTCCTCCGTTTTCTTGGTACAACTCACACGCACACAGAAGAAGAGAGAAGCCATTGCCGCTTTGGTGCTGATGACGGTCCAAGGCGAGCGCGAGTTGCAATGGATCTCAGGATCGACGAGGCAAAGCCTAACGAAGTGCTGGTGCTGGTGCTGGTACTGGTACTGGTGCTGATGCTCATGCCAAATGCTGATGCTCATGCTCGTGCTAACGACAAGACTTGCGAGACAAGGGCCTGGCCTCGAACGAAGACGTCCTCCGGTTCGACACCGTCCAAGTAATACGCCGTACTTCGTATGTACTTCGTACAGACCAGCTGTTGCGGCAATGCATGACCAGATAGCTTGGAAGCTCGGTGATGCAATGATGCGCGCCGGCACTTGAACCCACAGCCTCTTACGGCCACTTGGACGAACGATTGTGCCACAGCTGAAACATGAATCAAGAAGAGGCCACGACGCTGCTGGCAGATTTCCCAGCCCGACCTTAAGCATTGGAGCCCTCCACCCTCCTCCGGCCCAAAGAGCAGCGAGTCTGTGATTAGCTACCGATAGTAGACGTCTTCATGCAACTCGCCTGACGGCTTTTTCCTCGCAGCCAGACACCGCCCTGCTCACCGACTAGAATTTCCATCGACAGCTGGAAAACTGCCTTGGGCAAGCCGGTAACACTAACTTTTTCCCTTCTCTTTTCATTGCTTTTTGGCAGCTATTTGCTGTCGTCTTCGTTGGCCTTGTTTTCAGCCGCACCCCCTCCCCCTGCTCAACGTTTGGGCTTCCTCCATTCAATCTTTTTCCCTCCTCTTCCAATTGCTCTACGATTTTTCTCCCCCTTCTTGTTTTATTCTTTCTTCATCTTTACTGTGTTGCTGATTTATTAGCTTGGCCTGGATTGGCCTGGTCTAGTCAATCAGTCAGACAGTAATATCCCGGACACTGTCCTCAGCCAGCCGTGCTGTCCTTTTCCATCAGCCGCCTCCCTCCTCAATCTCCCGCCTCACTACCGGGCCAGTCCTTTCACTCTAGTGCCAGTGTTAATCAATTGACTTGATTATCTACCGGGAACTAGCCCTATTGCTCGGGCCCGTCCTAGCTTCACAACCCCAGGCTGATTCATGTTGCTTGCTTCTCCATTATGCATGCAAACCCGTTCAAAGCCAGTAACAACCTGCCACTCTCTGTCTTTCTTTTTTGGCCCCCCTTTGAAAGTCGTTCATAATATACACTCCCCCCCACCGTTCTCCTTCCCCAGTCCAGCTGGCGTCGGCTGGAGCCAATCATCTCTTGACTGGCCTTTGTCCTTCTCTCTCGACCCCCCTGGAAACCTCAGTTGCTTGCCCACTTCCCTTCGTCTGCATCAGCATTCAAGTGGCTTCCCGGTTGGCGTCCGCCCTGCCCCAGCGCTGGGCCCTTGCCACCCCTGCTTAGCCATCTGACGTTTCCTCGCTCATGGAACTGTCGAAGATGGACTTGTGACTCTCCCAACGTCGTTCTCCTTCCCACAGGCCACTGGAACCCGATCTAATGACAGGGTCCTGGCCTGGTCTTGACGTAGTGGCCCGCGTTGCCGCCGAGGCATGGTATGCTTCATCGGCTCCTCTCATCTCCCCCCCCCAATTGGCCCAAAGAAGCCCCCCGGGCTCGCCAATCATGTTGGCATTCACTTCATAAACACGTTCCCGGGACCGACCAGACGCCCATTGTATTCATTTCCTGAGACAGCACCATTCTTCTTCCTCCTCTGTGCTTCGTACTCTTTCTCTCCCCCCCTTTCACAGTATCTCAAGGTTGACACATCCCGAATCTCGTTCATCATCAACTCTCGAGTCTCTGCCATTGTACTTTCTCAACGCTAGGACACACCAGCCATACATCTCGATCCTCCCCTTGCCGCCTCTGACGCCGTGACTCCCCCTTTGACAGCACCAGTCTGCCTAGTGCTGGTCGTCTGCTGCCTTATCTGGCTCTTCTTGGAACAGCAAGCCTACCGAACCGGGAGCATCGACGATCTGGGAACCGCGTGTGTCTGCCACATCTGCTGACACAGCTTTGCCACCTCACCGGGTCTTGCCTCGCCCGACCTCTTTCATCGCCTCATTTGCATAGCCCACGCCGGGCTTGATCAGGCAGTCGCTGAGCTGGCTCAACTCCAGAGCCACTCGCCGGTCTGCCTCCTGCAGGCAGGGCCACCAACGTCCTTCAACGTGGTCGCACACGGCATCGACCTGCTCCGCGCTTCTGGCGCAGCTGCTGACCGACCCCGTATGGGCGGCCGAGGGTTGCCCGCCAGCACCGTGGATATCGCCTCCCTGCTTCGGTTCTCTGCCTCAAACGAGCCCCCCGTGTCGCCCCCAAGACAGCTACGACCTGCTTCGGTGCCATCAACCCCTAAAAATACTCCTCATGATCTCCTCCCTCCGCGTGCAAGGCCACCGCCTGTAGCTCCGACGCTCATCCCGAGCAGCAGGCGAAGCATGACGCCTCACGTCCCGGATCAGCCAGTCAAGAAACAAACCAAATGGTCTTCCGAAGAGGATGCCCTCATCATTGAGCTGCGTGGCAAGAACATGAAGTGGGAGGACGTCTCGAAACGGCTTCCTGGACGCAGCGCCATCAGCTGCCGGCTTCACTACCAGAACTATCTTGAGAGACGAAGTGAATGGGATGAAGAGCGCAAGAATAAGCTGGCCAGGCTGTATGAGAGGTACGTGTGAAATTGTTCATGATGGTGAAGGAAGATCCTTCTTGGCTTGAACCTATACATCGGCACCGTTCCTCTTTACCCCTACTTCGTGATAGCACAACAGACTGACAATAGCAACCCTCCAGGTTCAAAGCTGATATGTGGGCCAAGGTAGCTGAAGAGTTGGCAGTCCCATGGCGGGCAGCCGAGGCCATGCACTGGCAGCTTGGAGAGGCGGACATGGCTCGACGGGCTGGTGTGGTTCCCTTCACTCTGGCTAACGTCAACAACGAGTCGGGGAGCAGCAGAAGCGTGGCTAGCCGATCCCAGGCTCCCATTCAGCCGCAAGAAACCAGCCGTGAAATGAAACCACCTTCCCCTCCTTCGAGCTACAGCCGCAGCCAGCTGATGCCACCCATCGCCCCCATGACCCCGGCGCCGCGAACTCCCCGACGAGGACCTATCAACCCGCCACCGGCTCCCCCCATGCTGCCTCCGCAACACTTGCATCAGACACCCCGTTCCCCTCACACAGTCGTACCGGGGCCGGCTCTGCAGCAGCCACCACCGCCACCGGCTCCCGCCGCTGCTCTGTCACACTCTCTTGGTGACTACCGCCGCAGCCCCGGCCCGGGCCTGGCGCCGATACAACCTCACCCGCCGTCTCATATATCGGGTCCCTTACCGAGTGTTGCGCAACTGACAACGGGTATGAGTCCATATCGTCCGCCGAGCGGGCCGCCGACGCCGACGTCTCTGCCCGCGATGACCACTACCCCATTGCCCCGTTACTTGCCCCTTGAACCGACGGCATCAGCGGGAACCAAACGGCGAGCGAGTCCGGACATGACACGACCAGACAGCGCTCACAGGAGAAGGTTGATATAAACTTGTCTACCTGTCGCTCAGTCGACTACCAACAGTTGTTACACAATAAAGAAAACAGAGCCACAAAAACAAAGGGTATCACAATGAGAAGCGAAGGTGATGGATATTGGCAAAAAGAGTAAGGGGGCACATCATTCATTTTATTCGTTCTCTACTTGACAAAGGGGCATACATACACAACACACTCATACCTGAATGGTCCAATGAGGTAATGCGGATGACGCGCATTGGATCAAGTCATTCGTCGTGCTACTCACGGACGATCATACGGAACGGGGTAAGTTGGGAAGCGACGGAAGGTATTCACAGCACAACACGCTCGACCACGAACACTCAGACAGTTGCTATTTGTTTTGTTTATTACTGTTTACCGTTTTCTTGGTTTACGATTCTTGTTTCTGTTGACTGCTTTCGGCCATTTGTTTTTTGATTTTACTTTTACAAGTTGTTTTTTTCTTTTCTTTTTTCACCCTACTTTCTGTTTTCCATGTTGTTCTATTCATATCACGCTCTTCTGTTCGGCACATGGCTAGAGGCGCTTCTTGGATTAAAGAAAAGGCTTTGACTTGATTTCACTGCGGAGAAGGGTTCTGGTTCTTGACGGAGCATTTGCATATGGCTTAGAGGATACACGACTCATCGACGGAGACTGATGACGGGAACATTTTGGGCATTGATGGCTAAGGCATCCATGGGATAGAAGCCGAAGAGCAGGCTGGGAGGAAACAGAGCGGCGGGCGTTTTTGTTTGGAAAGATTGGGAGAGACATGGGATGTCAACGGCATTGGCATCACTACACCACAGGGCTCACGGCCAATTTTGTTTTGTCTATTCACCCAAATCAGTAGATAGTACACAAGCATATCTGCAGCGTTTGCTTTGTATCAATACAATCGATGACTTTAGATACCTTACATGACAAGAAATCAGCGTCTGCACATTGCGACCGTCCTTATGCCGGAGCAGGCTGCTGCCCATGCTCATGCCTCATGGCCATCTCATCATGACAACATCATCATTTGGAGCATCATCATCGTCATTACCGTCATGGATATCATTCAGTTCAGTTGTTGCTACAGATCACCCACCAGTTATCCTTCTCATACCCACTCTCCAAAACCTTTCCTCCCGCCGCCTCGACATCCTCCTCCAGCTCCCCCTTGCGATACAGATGATAATACCGCTGAAAGGTGGCCTCGGGCTTGCCCTTTGACCGCATCACCCACGGCACCAGCGCATCCTGCTCCGACCCTTCATCCCACCCCCTGCGACTCGAGCTCTGCTCCAGCGCCCACGCATACACCAACACCCGTCCGCCTTGGCGAACACAGTCCAACAAGGCCCTGATCCCCTCCTGCCGCCTCTCCCTCGTCGAAAGATGATGAATGACGGCGACGCAGATGACAAAGTCGACCGACCGCGCGCGATACGGCAGGCTCAGCGCGTCGGCGACGACGACCTGCGGCGGCGAGGCGAGCAGCTTCTTCTGCTCGGAGCGGGCGAGGCGCACGAGGGCGTCGCTGCGGTCGGAGGCGAAGATGTGCAGCCGCGGGTTGACGGGGAGGTACTTGCCGTTGCCGCAGCCGACGTCGAGGCCGACGGAGCCGGGCGGGAGGGAGGACAAGAAGGAGGAGATGAAGGGCCAGGGCTTGTGGCGGGTGGAGGAGAAGTGCGGCGCGATGGCGTTGTAGACGGAGTGGACGTGGGTTGCCTCGTAGGCTTCCGGGGAGGATTCCTCCATGGTTTTCTTTTTGTTTGTTTATTGTGAGGCTAAGGGATGATGTTTTGATGTGAGTTTTTGGTGTTGAGATTGGCGGGGGTTTTTGAGATTTGGGGGCTTGTTGAGATGTAGGAGGTTGAACAGGTGCTTGAGGCTGTCTCGAGTCGGTATGTTTGATGTCAGGTGTTTACGGAGAAGATGGGAGGTATTGTAGTTGCGCCATCATATCCCGTCTATACCGATGCAAAACAAACAGCCGTAGATTGTATTTCGAGTCACAGCGTATACCAGCAATTGGAGTTGGCATCACAAAAGTTGACAAAGAGGGCGTGCAATTGAATTTTCGCCAACCACAAAAATCCACGGCGTGCCCCTAACAAATTTTCACAAGCCTTTTCCAAAACCTTTTATCAAACACCCCTCCCCAAACCAGCGGAACAATATTCTTTCGTATTCCCCCCTTCTGGGTTTGGAGAGAAAACAACAACTTTGGAGAAAACAACGCTAAAAGGTATCATAACTGCCGCCCAACAAACAGCCCTGGAAAGCTAGAATAAGAGATTCTACGGTAAAACCGTTTCAATTCCATCCTTGTTTATATAAGTTCTGGTCCTTGTGTTCCTTTTTTCTGTCCCTTTCTTCTTTGTTATTGCCCTGCACTGGCTTGTTTTAACGGAGGGAAAAAGAAAAAAAAAGGAAAAGGATCCCTGTTGGTTTTTCTTTCTTTTTCTACATTTTTTCTCTCTTTCTTTTCGGCATCTAAAGCACCATTCAATTGTCATGATGCAGTCCCTCCATTTCCCTTTTCCGTGTTGCGTTGCGAACGAATTACCGGTTTGGGGACCCTTGTGTATGTTTTTGAACATGGGACGGGAAGTACAGGTTCGGGGAGAGCGGATGAAAAGATCCTTGGGCGAAATGCCCCGAAAGGGGGGGGGGGGGAGGGAGGAGACCATGGATATGTATGTGCAAGATCCTCGTATCGTAACTCCATGCCTATCCTTCTTGCAGACATAGTATCATCAAATGCTGTTAGTTGCTTTTCTCTACAACAAGGTGAGCGAGATTGAATTGGGAAGGGATTGCGATTTGCGAGTTGCCTTTCACAATATGTAAGGAGTACCAACATGGTAGTCGTCATCTCACTCCTGGGCGTGATTTCAAGAACAACTGCAAGGTTGCGTGATGCTGCTGTTCCTTTTGTGTGGCAATAAGCATTCTATCGAGCCAGGGACAGGCCCTGGAAATGCAAGTATATCTCCGTCATTTCTCACATGTAGCAAGGGCACACGCGACGTGTTCGGTATCCAATCTTTTTTGGCGTTTTCCAGTTACCTAAACCTTGTAGTACTCGTATTTCGTAAGAGGCTCGTGCTGGAAGCAGTCGCTCTCAGTAGCATGTATGTAATACCATCTACTGATTTCCCGTGTTAAGAGGGCTCTTAGGATCATAGACATCCGTCGTAATCAGCTCCGGATACGTGACGCCACCCTGCCTCAGCGCCTCCTCCATCGTCTCCATAATGACAATGCTCTCCTTCCAGGGCAACGTGGCACTCTCCAACTTGCCATCACGAAGGCATCGAGCGCACTCGTCCGCCTCCCAGAACATGCCGTGACCCCAGCCCTTGCGCGCGGGGTCTCCGGGGATGGGGCAATCAACCGTTTGCGCCTCGCCGTTCTTCTTCACCACCTTGTATTTGAGCGGTCGGTAGGTCGGGAAGAAGACCTGGATTTCTCCCTTGGATCCTTGAATTCGAATCGCCGGGATCACATCCTTCTCAGGGTCGGTATCCGCTCTCATCGTCGTTGAGGCAATTCCAATGCTGTTGTGGCGAGGGAAGCTGCAGATGACGGCGGTATTCTCGTCGGCGCCAGTGGTATACTTGTGGCTGGAAGCAACCACGGTGGGAGCCTCCTTGTCTTCCTCTGGCTGCAAATGATACAAGGTCTGGAACACCCAAGTTAAGGGATAGACTCCGAGATCCAACAGGGCTCCGCCTGCAAGGTCAGGGTTGACCATCCGATGAGAGTCCGCGAATGTCAAGGCATTACCCTGCTCTGCGTTTGCGTTGAAGGACAAATCGGCTGTTCTGAATTAATATGTCTCTTACTCTTCCTTTTCATTTTATGTGACTCGAGGCTCACCGATTGTTCGAAAGACAGAGCCAATCTCGCCGGCAGCAATGAGTTCTCGAATCTTGATGCTCAGCGGAAAGTACCGTGTCCAAACAGCCTCCATCAGGAACAGCTTCTTCGCCTTGGCCGTCTCAACCAGCTTTCGAGCCTGCGCCGCCGTCACGGTGAAAGCCTTTTCACACAAGACGTTCTTGCCGGCTTCCAGAGCCAGCATGGTGTTCTGAAAGTGGTGGCTATGAGGAGTTGCCACATAGATGATGTCGACGTTGGGGTCTGCCACGAGTTCTGAGTATGATCCATACGTCTTGGCGTCAAAGGCACCGTCGATTCTCTGGAGAAATTCCTCTGCTCTCTTGCTGCTGCTGGAAGAGGCCACGGCCACAATCTCGTGGCGCACATCATCGGCACCTCGAACCGCGGGGTTGCACAGCAGATCCTTGCAGAAGGCTGAGAGCTGTCATGTTAGCTCAAACCATTTCGTTGTCAAGAGATGAACACTGACTCTCTGCGATTCCGCCGGTGGCCATGATGCCCCATTTCAGGGTGTAGGGATTTCCAGACGCCATCATGGATGATAAGGTATGGCTGAACTTGCTGGCTCTAACGATGACGACGACAATAGCGCTTGCAGCTCAAGGCTGGAGGTCGGACTCTGCGGCTCTTAAATACATAGCCTCTCGGCCTCAGCCCTCTCTTTACGAGAACCTGAAATCATTCAAGAAATCGACGGCCAAGGCTAAGTGCTCCACCCTCGGCGTAGTCGATCTTCGCCCTCGCCAATCAACAGCTGCGCAAGTTCAATATGTGGTGGAGGGGATTCCGTAAACCGCGGCCGAGTCTGCGGACAAAGTTGCCCCGCGGCAACTATTTCTCTCTCTCTGTTTTGCCCACGGTTATTATAGCTCGATTCGAATCGTTCGTCGCGGTAATAGCGATGCTAGTCGGAATCGGCCTTGGTGGGGGTTGGGAGCGTTCGATCCAATTAGGCTCAATAGAGGCGTCATTTTCCCCGGCTCTTATTACCCCGAGGTACTTATACAAGTATGAGACAGCAAGTATGTCGATAGATAAGAGCTGTGAGGCTGCGGTGGTTGGGTCAGAGAAGCGATGAGGCATCTCGGCTGCAGAACCGCGATGTTGGAATTAAAAAGGGAGATGTCAGATGGAAAATAGCTCAAGAGCTTCGCAAGTTGATGATTACCTAAGTTTGCTCGTGATGTGATGGTGACAGACGAATCTGTAGAAGAAGGAGCCCTCCAACTCGTCGTATCAGTTCTTGCCCCGCGCTTGACAGCTCCGCTACTAAGGTACCTTGAGTATCGTTTCTTATAACCAGCTCCAAGCTTGATAAGCTCGCCACGGCTTTACCATTCATCTCTTGATGCAATACAAGTCAGGGAACCGGGAACGAAATTACACTTGCTTGTTGGTGCCTTTATCACGGCCACTCATAATCACATCAACTACCAAAGAACTTTCACATACACGATGGCACGTCCAGCGATCGGAGCGCAGGCATCACGCCTTGCGCGAGATCTGCCTCTGAACTTCTCAACAACCTCTGCTCGAATCCCGAAACTCGTCTACGGCACTGCCTGGAAAAAGGATCAAACTGCAGATCTCGTATACACGGCTCTGAAGACTGGCTTTCGTGGCGTCGACACTGCGGCTCAGCCGAAGCACTACGATGAGCGTGGTGTTGGTGCCGGTGTCAGGCGTGCTATAGGGGAGGGCCTCATTAAGCGTGAAGACCTCTTTGTATGAGCCAACTCCAGCGCTTTCACGATGGGCCTCTCTCAGTGGAATGTTGGCTAATTCCATGATACAGATCCAGACAAAGTTCACTTCTCCGGGAGGGCAGAATCATATCACCCCGTATGATATAAATGACCCGCTAGCTGATAAAGTCCATCAATCCGTGCAGTCGTCTCTGGCAAACTTCACCGTCGACGGCGAGGAGCCATATCTGGATAGTCTTGTGCTGCATTCTCCCATGGAGACCATGCAAGAGACAGTCACCGTGTGGAAGACTCTCGAGTCGTACACGCCGCACAAGATTCGCCATCTGGGAATATCCAACACGACCCTTCCGATTGTCCAAGCTTTGGTTAACGACATGACCGTCAAGCCGGCCGTCGTGCAAAATCGTTTCCACAACAAAACTGACTATGAGACGGACCTCAGAGCTTTCTGTCGCGAGCACAAGATTGTCTTTCAATCTTTCTGGACCATTTCGGCCAACAGACATCTTCTTCAGAGCAGCCCTGTGCGAGAGGTGGCACAAAAGGCCGGAGTGGGAGCGGTTGCGGCGTTCTATTCGCTGGTATTGGGACTGGAGGGGACCACCATCTTGGATGGCACGACAAGTGAGACGCACATGAAGGAAGATTTGGAAGGCATTGAAGTTGTAGGCGCCTGGGCGGAGGGCGAGGGCGCATCCGACTGGGATTCTGCGCTTAGGGGCTTCAAGCAGCTCATTGGGGAATCGCAGGTCCCCTAAAGGTCTGTAAGGCAATGGCAAGATGTGGCCAGTGTGTGAGAACGAGACTTTGACTGTCAAAAGTGAGCGTTTTAGGCCCTGTTCGTCAGCTTCATGATGTACAATACACTTCAACTTCGTCCGATACGACTGGGGTAAGTAAAAGCACGATTTGTCTAAATATTACGTCGCTAAAAAAGAGTTTGAACTGCCTTTATCTCATGGGTGTCTCTAGATGTCTTTCGCAAATGTATTCGCCACGATGAATGGGAAGCATGCTGTCGCTTCGAGATATACCTATCGCTCCGTGTCAGCGCATTTCCATGAGATCAAAGACAAAATTAGGGGAGATATAAACTCGCCTTGACATTATCTGCGCCGATTTTAATCTTGCCCCATGATACGGCTTCGTCAGGGCGCGCACCGGCGTCACTGCCGTCAAACTCCTGGGCTGTGTTGATGTACACGGCTGATTCCGCACCATTTCTCATAAGGCATGCATTTGCAATGTGGTGCTTCACAACACCTCCCCCGAGGATGATCATGCCTGCTCGCTTGGCTCGGACAGCAATTGTGTTGATGCGTCGAATATCCTCCACGAGGTCAATCCTCAGCTGCTGTGGTGAGGTCTTGAATGTGTGAAAGTAGAGCATATCTCCAAGGCTGCCGTCCGTCAAGGCAGGACAGAAGACGGGTATGTCGTTCTTATACGCCCAGTAATAGACCGATCGCTCGTCATTGATCTCCTTGCCCAGTCGGTGAATCACCTTGGAAGGCGTCCAGTGAATCTCATCCTCGGTTCCCTTGCTGGCCTCCTGCTCCTCCAGCATCTTGTCGAAGATGGGCACCACCCAGTCCTCAAAAGCGCAGTAGTTGGCGTTGGGTACGACGAGGTTTCCGATGCGGTTGAGGCCCTTTTTTCGCAGATCTGCGCCGGGGGCACTGAACGAGCTCATGTATGTCTCACCAAGACACTTGATGAAATCCTCCTCTACGCCTCCGGCTGTCGTGACAATGCATGAGACATGCTTGTGCTCCACCAGCCACCGAAAGACACCCCTTAGACCGGATGAGATAAGATTGGAGGTGTATCCGAGGAAAATTGTCGTCTTGTCTCCCGTTTCAGGGTCTCTCCACGCTCTCTGTTGGACTGTCAGTCATGGCAGTCTTACCCCGAAGGAGGAACCTGATTATACTGACCATGTCGTTGATGATTCTTATAGCCTCACTCATGGAAGTTGCCTGGAATCCCATATTCCTCATACCCAAGAACAGATCCTCCGCCGTAATGGGCCCTTTCAGCTTGTTGAAATCGAGCTCTTCTACCTTTTGCGCATCCTTGGGCATTTCTTCTGACTTGACGAGCACCGCATTGGTGACCTCCAATGGAGGCGCACCTGAACTGTTGTTTGCTGCCATATTGGAATGAAGGAACAATACGAAATGCTGGGCTGGAAAGATATGAGCGTCCCTCGTAAGGCCACCGGACTCTTATAACGAATGCTTTAGTGGAAGAAACGAAATAAAAGGAAAGACACTCCTCCCTTGTCACAGGCCTGCTGAAAGTCAGTATGAGTAAGAATTGAAGACGATGTCTCTCACCAGTTGCAGAGCTCGAGGGTAACTCAATCAAGTTCATCCGCTAGCAGAAAATTGCATCCTTCAATATGTTACATAATCAGAGACATGAAAATAAATCTGAAAATAAATCTGACAGCCAACCATCGAGTCTTCTTGCGCTAGTCCCAGACTGGCAACACCCAACGATTGATACCCGAGGTCCTGCAAAAGCCCCCGCCTGCTGCCAGGGTGCTGAATAACACCACAGCCCCAAAGCGGACTAGCGCCCAGCGTCTTCGCGGCAGAGAAGGCTAAGGCTCTGTCTGTGCAAGCGCCACGCGATTCTGGATGTATTTTGAAGTCTCTCGGTAAACCTCGACATCTTCAGCTCCTTCATCCCTCCAGCCTCCGACGCCCATCTGCATCGATACCCCGAGGACAGCCCGCAGCTTCTTGGTCGGATATCGCCGCTGGAATCTGCTCTTGTCCTTCTGTTCTGGGACCGTCGAGGCCTCGTGATTCCGACCTTCACAGTGACCCCCCCTGCGCCTGGACTTCACCAGCCAGAGGCAGAGGCGCTGCTAGCCAAAGTATCGACTGATAGGGCCTTTCCTGTTCATCACCGCAGACGCCGGCTTCGCTACGCATCTGCTGTCCAGGCTTTGCGTGCGGCGACACCGGCCTCTGGATGAGACTGGCGACACCTCTGCATAGTCTCATCCGGCACCGGCCCGGTATTTTCAATGTGAGTATCGCGCTGAAACGGCTGCATTAAGCTGGGAGATCCTTGGCGAGTGGCTTCGACTGCGCCATCGAATAGGCCGCGATTGATTCTTGCATACGTAATGAGGAGTGGAACTTACTCTCTTCGCTCTAGGGCGTCTAGATACTCGCGATACGACGCGGACCGGCGGTCGAGATCTCCTCGAGATCGTTCCCCGGACCGCTTTGACCGGGCATCACATTATAGCGATGGCGATAGGCGACGCTCCTCTGCAGAAGCAAGAACGAACTCGGCCGCTTTTCCCCCGGGCAGGGACGTCTTCGGCGATCAGCTGCGCAGAGAGCCACCTCGTGGTCCCAAGGCTCTGATAGATCCCCCCGCCGGGCCTCGGGGAGGAGGATTTGCTGGCGACTTCCGAGGCGGAAGAGGGCGAGGCAGAGGAGGGCGAGGATGGCCTGGAAGAGATGACAGCCGTGATAGAGGCAGGGATAGAGACATCGACTTTCGAGACCGATACCGAGACGAGAGAAGCCGGGAGCGCGAGCGAGAGCGGGATTGGCGTGACCCAAGAGACTTTCGCCTGCGCAGATCACCGATAGGAAGAGCACGATCGCCGACGCGAGATTTTCGAGAACGTGAGCGGGATCTACCTCCGGGACTCGATGCAGAAAGATCACGACGTGGCTCTCGAGATGGCGGGCCTCCCTCAGCTGGCTCGTCATCGTCGGAGCCCTTGTTCGGCGTCTCGCCGTTTCCTCGGGGCGGAGGTTTCATTCGCGGCCGTGGAAGAGGTGGGAGAGGCGACTGGCCCATGGAAAGAGGTCGAGGACGGGTCCCCTATGACGATCGTGGCGACCGCTACCCCCGCAGCAGATCTCAGGAAGGTCGCTGGGCGCGTGAGCGGGAAGAGCGCGAGCGCGGTGATCGATACCCAGAGGCCGACGTGCGTCGCGATCCGCGCGATGAGAGGGACCGAGGAGAGCGTGAGCTCTTCCGTGCCAAGATGGAAGCGCGAGCCGCCCAGGAATCGGCTGCGCAAGTCAAGGACGTCTCACCTCCTCCTGTGGCACCGTCGGCTCCGGCATTCGGCTCAGTGCCAAACCGGGTTCCGAGCACTGGCGATTCGCAGACTCTTCCCGGCGTCGCATCGAACAAGCCGCCCCCTACTGCTCCACGGGCTTTTGCAGAGCGTCCTGTTTCCGCAGGCCAGGGCTCCGGCGCTGCTCCCGAAACTCCCCAACCACCTACTGGGCCCTCAAAGGGCATACCGCACGATAGCCCCCCTATCCCCCTGGGCCCCCGACTGCAACAGCCCAAGCCTCCACGCCCGTCTAGCAAGCAATGGATCAATCCGAGTCTGAAGAAGCCACCGCCGGAGTCGCCCAAGGTAATGAGGTCGCAAAGCTTTGCCCAGCCACGACCTGTGCCACTTCAACGAGGCGCCTCACAAGCCGAGCCATCTGACTCAAGGCGACCGCGTAGTAGCGACGCGAAGTCAGATCCCTACTTGGGGTTGGAGAACAGGATGCGAGCCCATCATAGCGAGGAGCCAGGCGAGATAACCGCGAGCTCTGAAGTCGAAAGGCCACTGCGGAAGGAAACGGCCAGTTACGAGCGGCCAGAATTGATAAATCATGACGCTGGCACTTCGGACCGCCCACAGCACCCTGCTGAGCCGCCTTCTACTTCTACCAAGGTGGACTCACATGCCAAACAGCAGGAAAACAAAGAGAGCGAGGAAGGTCAACGGCCCGTCGAGGCAGCAGCAGCGAAACGAAAGAGCAAACTGTTCAAATCGCGCGCCGTTCGATTTGCTTTACCTCCAAAAAACGTGCAACAGGAAGAGACCCCCGAATCTGACGACGAAGATATGGGCGACTATTTCGACATGGAAATTAACAAAACGGAAGCTGAGTTGAGCAAACTGCAAAAGCCAAAGATGCCCGCAGAAGTAATACGCGGGTACATGACCCAGTCGCATGGGTCAATGGTGAAGATCCTGAATGAGGGAGAGGAGCTATCAGGGACGCTTGGCGATGTTCCGGAGAACCCTGAGCCCGTGACCGAAAAGATGGAGGTGGAACCTACTGTACAAGACAAAGAGCCCCATGTTGCGCAAGCTGAACCTCTCGTACCAAGAGAGGCTGAGAAGGCCAATCAAGTCCAGGAGGCCGCTAGCGATCAGCTCGTTCAAGTACCGGCCGAGGCGGAGGAGAAGGAGAAGAAGGAGGATCAGAAGAAGGGAAATCTCGAACCAGCTCTTCTGAAAGAACAAGAAGACCGTCAGCCAAAAGCGGAGGAAATGGACATTGATGTTGCACCTATGCTTCCACCTTCTGAGCCCATTTCTGGACCGGAGCCGATGCCCGAGACCGAGACTGAGACCGCGACTGCGGCCGCAACCAACGACTTGCTCGAAGACAAAGAAGCCGCGCCCGTTCCGGCTGGTGGAGAGACTCCGGCAACCATTGATGAGGCTGCTCGCTCACCGAGACCGGCCGAAGTAGAATCCAAACCGCCAAGCACTCCATCTCAAGTAGCAGACGAGGATGATGAGACCGAAACAGAGGATGAGGCTTTTATGGAGGCCCAGGCTGCGGCAGCTGCTGACACGGTTCGTCGATACATGGCAACGCCGCCTGTGGATAGCCTTCCTGGCGGAGATGGTGATCACCCGCTCTGGTACCAGGACAAGGAGTTCCTGACAACCTTGGAATCGGATCCCCAAGTTGACGACTTCGTTACCATGTTTCTCGATAAGGTCCACCGCACCAGGTCGGACGAACAACGCCGCGCGCAAAATACCTATGCCGCCAACTACATGCAATATCTTAGGTTTACCATGTCGGATGACCCCGCAGCAACGAAGAGCAGGGACAAGTTCTCCGTCTCGGCCCCCTCAGAGACGACGGGTACCCCGACGCCCGAGCAGAAGCCAGAGGGTAGGGGAACTGGAAGGAGATTCGCCACGGAGCGTGATCTTGAACGCGTGCTTCAAGCGTCTATGCGGGAAGACGAGGAGAGAAAAGAGCGAGAGCTCCGAATCCAGCAGGAGAAATACCGCAGCGACAAGGAAGCCGTCATTCCGGATATGTATTGGGACGACTTGGAGAAGCAGCGAGTTCAGTATGTGGATAGGTCGGGATTCACGCCCCCGGAGAAGCTTGTTTCCGCATGGCAGGTGTTCCGGCCCATCAACAACTTCACAGAAGAAGAAGCGCAGCTCTTTGAAAAACGATACTTGGAGCTTCCCAAGCAGTGGGGCAGGATTGCGGAAGTTCTTCCGAATCGCGACTTCCGTGCTTGCATCCAGTATTACTACCTGATGAAGGCAGAACTCAACCTGAAAGAGAAGCTCAAGAAACAGCCAAAGAGGCGCAAGAAGGGTGGCCGCGGCAAACAGAGATCCAGCGCCTTGGTTTCGGAGCTCGGCAACGGCGAGCCGGAAGGCGAAGAGGCGCCCCAGGAAAGCGGAGAGAACGGGGAGAGGCGGAGGCCACGGCGGGCTGCTGCTCCCACATGGGGCTTCGAACAACCCGCTACGGACGGGGAGAGCACCCCTGCTGCTACTCCTGGGCGTCGCGGAGCGTCTGCTGCCAAGGGCGATCAGCCAGAAAAGGTAGACGGGAGAAAGGGGAGACGGAAGGCCAAGGACAAGGACAAGGACAAGGAGAAGGACAAGGAAAAGGACAAGGAAAAAGACAAGGAAGTCAAGGCATCCAAGCCGAGCCAGGCCCTCGCCGCTGCGCCTGGCCCCGCGGCTGGGAAAGGAAGAGGCCGGGCCGAATCTCGCCCGGTGCCTGCGGAATTCCTCACGGCCCCTCCCTTGCCATCCGATCCTCACCGTTTGCCGGTTCCGTTCGAACAGCCCTTGCAAGCGGGTATCCAGGCCCCGTTTGCCGTGCCGCAGCCGCCGCTTATCGAGAGGCCAAAGCCCGTAGCCGTTGCTGGGTCCATTACGGAGGTCATGGCGGCGCCCTCGCTTCGACCAGAACCACCCCCACCTCCTCCATCGTCCATAACCACCTTTAACCTGACACAGCAAATTCCTGAACGGAAGCCATTATCTCAGGCGTCGAGTTACTGGAGTGTGTCGGAAGCCAATGACTTCCCACAACTCTTGAGAGCTTTCGGTTCTGACTGGTCAGCGATTGCCAAACACATGGGCTCAAAGACTACGGTCATGGTATGTGGACATTTCCCCCCTCATCCCTTAAAGCGTTGTGAGTGAGCAAGTTTTACTAATCGGAGTGCAATTGAACAGGTCAAGAACTACTATGTCCGGCAGAAGGACTCTGGTAAACCAGAATGGGAGGCAATTGCTCAAGAGGCTGATGCCAAGCGGGCCAGGGGAGAGAAAAGACCTGATCCTCCCGTACCTACTACTGGCGGCCGTGGTAGGAGATTTGAAGGCACCGCAGCTGGGACCTCAAGACCCCTTGCGGTGGCTCCAGGAGCTGCAGACCCTCATGGCGATCTTCCTCAGCCCAAGGTCGAGCCTGCGCCTCAACAGCCATTGAGGCAACAGCAGCATTTGCCGAGCTACGGAGTACCGATTGCACAGGCTCCAGTCCAAACTCCCTTGGCACAGCCAAACCAGGTTCCTCTTGCTGTACCAGCTCACGCGGTCCCCCAAGCGACGCAGCAAGCCATATCTCCCAATGCGCGCGCAATGCACCAAGGATTGCCGCCTTTTGGCTTCCCAGAACGCGATCGCGAGCCTGTCCAGCCCCAGCGAGTACCGCTACCGCAGAAAGCTTCTGCCAGCCAAGTGCCAGAGCTCCGAGATCCGCGCCCATTGTCTGTGGCCCAGCCACTCCAGCCGGCACATCCTGAGGCCCTCGAGCGCGAACGCACTGCTCAGATGGAGCGGCTGAACATGGAGAATAGGTTTAGGGAACAACAGCATAGGGAACAGCAGCACAGAGAGCATCAGCAGAGGGAAAAACAACACCGGGAGCAGCAGCATAGGGAGCAGCAGCACAGGGAGCAGCAACACAGGGAGCAGCAACACCGGGAACAACAGCACAGGGAGCAACAGCATAGAGAGCAGCAGCAGCTTATGCGCGAAAGGGAAATGGAAATCGAGAGAGAGCGTGAGCGCGAGAGGGAGAGGGCAGAAAGGGAGCTCCGGCAAGCAGAGTCGATGAGGATGAAGCAAGAGGTCGAAGCACCACTTCACCGCTACGAGCCATATGTCAGCCATCGACAGCAGCTGAGCCATGGCGGAGGAGGCCCTCGAGAACCATTCTCATTGACGAGGCCCCCGCCCCAGGAGTCCTCCCGTGCTGTTGCCCCTCAACCGTATCCTACCGCGGTTCCCCAAGCCCAACCTCAACAACCACAGCCGATGCGGGCACTGCTCTCGGACCCCGTGGCGGTACAATCACCGCCCTTGGCGCCTCCATCCTCTAGATCAGCCCAGGCTCCTCAGCAAAGAATGCCCCCAGGCCCTCCGCATGAGCCTTACGGTGCAGCTGCTCAAGCCCAGCATACCCCCTCGATGCCACCGCTTACGCCTGCACGACCGCCCGAGCCCCGGAAATCAAACATCATGGCGCTTCTGAACGATGACCCTCCGCCGCCTAAGCCTCAGAGGATTGCCGAGGTTACGCAGAACCACGCACCTGGGCCGTCCCCGACGCCGCCTTCTCAAGGCATTGGCCGACCACCACCACCAGCCACATCTGCGCAAGCCGCGCCGATCCGCCGAGAAACAGATGCGCACTACTCTCCATACGGACGGACGCCGTCCAGCGGACCGTCAGCTATGCCTTCTCTCAAGCCTCCTTATTCATCCTCGCCAGCTTCCTCGCAGCACATCAGTGGGCACCGAAGCATGCCATCCGATCCCGCGGTGGATGTTGACTATTACAGACAGCATGCCTATCCGCCCAGCCATCCCGCCAGCGGAACAAACTCCCCTCAGACATCGCAGCGCTACCCTCCGCCTGCGCAATCAACAAGCCAGCCCCAGTACCAGTCGCAGTCCGGCTATCCCACGTCCTACGGCGGAGGTTCTCAGCCAGCGCACATCGCCTCGCCGCCTCCACAGCAATATGCGACTCACTCATCGTCGAGAAGCCGTGAGATTCCCCCAAGCAGCCGGGATAACGTCTGGCCATCGTCGGGTCACCAAGCACAGACTTCCGATATCCGATCGCAAGGCAATAGCTGGACACCTCAGCCGTCCAAGGCCGCTCAGGCTCCTCCTCCGCACGTACAGCCTGCTTGGGGAGCACAGCACCCTTCGACGAAGCCGGGGACTCCGGCACCGGCATGGTCAGCAGCAGCTCCGCCACCCCAACAGCACATGTCTCTGAGAGACGAGCGAGGGCCTCCTTCGATATACGGACAGTCACAGCAGCACACTTTGCAATCTCGGTACCCGTCGTCGACACGAGCACCTGAGCCTTTGTCGTCCGCCTCCCAGCCGTACCCGCGCTACGCGTCAACTCCTGGCCCACGAGACCCGCGAGACCCGCGAGATCCACGAGAGCCGTCGAGCCGGAGCTATACGCCGAGTGTGTATGACGGACGTCCGCCGCCTCCTGCTCAGGCGCAAGTGCACGGTTACCCAGCACCAGACCCGAGAGAGATGCAGCTACGAGAGGCGAGAGATCAAAGGGACCCAAGGGATCCCAGAGATATGAGGGACCCTAGGGATCCGAGAGATGCGAGAGATCCAAGAGACCCGCGCGACATTATGAACCGCGGTAATCTTCGACCGCACGAGTACGACCGTCATCCAGACAGTAGGTATGGACGGTAAAGGGTGTATGCGGATGAGGACCAGGGATAGCGGGGCGGAAATTCTTCTTTTTTATTTCGTGCTCTCTGCTTTTGTTTCTCTGAGTTTTGTATACGAGTCTCGCTACTTTGCCTAAAATTGGTGATTTCTATAGAGAGGCAACTTTAGGGTACCAAGGGGATATACTACCTATATATGAGGCCCTGGTTGGGTTTATGGAGAGGTTTAACGGAGACAGCGGTTAAGTGGAAAGGAGGTGTAGTCTAATGAACGCAGAACCAGTTGATTCTTTGGTTTCTAATGCGAAAGAAGAAGAAAATCTATAGGTTCTTGAACAGGTTGCGAGTTATAGGTTGTGTTTTATTCTATTTTTGTATGGGACTGCAGTACTTTGTCTGGTGGTGCTGTCATGTGTGTGGCCCTTTGGCGATGCTGTGTTATAAAGAAGTTGGTTGTTGACAATGAGACATGTTTATAGAGTGAATCTTGGTTTAATGTCTCCTTGTAAAAGTCTTGAAGTTGAAGAATTTTGTATAGATCTTCTATTACAGTCGACTTCTTCATTGCTGTATCATTGCTGTAAGTGCATGTAACAAATTACTGATGACATATAAGATACCGGGAGGAATTGATTGGCGGGGCATTTTAGAGCCCATCCCATCATAGCAATATCGATAAAACCCAACGAAACAGCGCGCGTCACGTCACGCAAAACCTCAGTTAACCACCACCACCACCACCAACTCCCACCATCTCTCTCTTTCCAAATCCCGCCACCCCCCAGAAACAATCGAGGGCAAAAAGACAGAGAGAGAAGAGGGGAAGTGGGAAAGAAAGGAAAGGAAAAAAAAAAAAAAAAAGGACGCCGTCTTATCGCCGCCAATGGATACCCGCACCAGCGGCAGCGGCAGCGGCGGCGCAAACAGCAGGGCCTACTTCGAACAGCAGCGCGAGGCCCTCGTCGGCGACATTGCAGAGGTAAAAAACCCTAATGGCGGTTCTTTTTTTTTTGCTAAAGCTTTGTACCGAGTTTGTGTTGTTGACGGAGGTTTTGTGTGTGTGTGGTGTGTAGAGCTTCGAACATGTCCTCGCAAACATCAACAAACTGAACCGCTCCCTCGAAGCCGTCATCGCCGTACGTCCTTTCCTCTTCAATCTATTTCGCTCTTCAATCCTACTATCCCCAACCTTGCTCCAGGCTAATTAGGTCGGGCAACGATTGGGAATGATGTAATACAGGTCGGCAACGAATTCTCCTCCGTAGAAGCCCTCTGGTCGCAATTCGAAAACGTCATGGCCAAAGACGACGCCGATGAACAACAAGACGCCAACAAAGCCGCTGCGTCACAACAACAGCAACACGACGATGATACACAACAACAACAACAACAAGGCGGAGACGATTCACGACACGAATGATTTCGATGACTATACCCGATGTATATATATATATATATATATATATATACCCAGACGAGAGTGACACAGAGAGAAAGGAGAGCGGCAAAGAGAAAAAGGTTCCTCAAGAAGAGACAAAGAAGCGATAATTCGAAAATGATATCGCTAGATACGAGCACGCATGGCAAATTAGATACCCTTCCCCTTCGAACCGAGCACCCTGCCGAATTACGCTTTGTATAAACTGAACAAAAATCTACACTATCACTATCACTACAAGCGCGATCGCTGGATCGGAATATGAAAAAGTAAAAAACGAAGAAAAGGGGTGGGGGGGAGGAGAAGGGAAAAGGGGAGGGAACAACAGGAGACAGCCGGTAGGGGGTGTTTGTGTTTGTGTTTGTGTTTGTGCATATGTGTGAGTGTGCGTTTGTGTGAACATGATGGATTTTTTTTATGTCCCAATCCCCAACCTGATTGAACTCGACAGTATCATGCTACATATGAAAAAAAGACGCAGAGCGGATGAAAGAAAAGGAAAAAAGCGACAAGAAGCAAAAGAGAACAACGATAATAAAGGCGGAATACTAAAAGACCACACGAGTTTCGCAAGACGAAAAGATAAAGAAAAGAAAAAAAAGCAATCACCATCCGCCCGATTCCCAGGTTGCGTTTCAACAGTTTGGTTTGGTGGCTCCCACATCCGCCCTTCCCTTTCCCATGCGTCAAGAGGCAAAGCAGGATCTGGAGCGCAAATCCAAGAAAATAAAAGAGGCCGGCTCGAATATGTTAAAATCAACCACGCGGACTCCCGCTTATATACCTGGCTGTACCTTGTGTTTCGACGAGAGAGATGCACCAGCAGCTCGTCTCCCTTTCCCCCCCCTCCCTCCGCCTTCATCGTTCTTGAGATCGTGGACCATAGGCGTTGGACGTCGTTCGTTCGTAAGGGGCGCAAATCGTCGTGGAGGGTCGTCTGATGGTCGTTACACTTTTCTGTTGTCCGCATCCGCAATCCGCTTCTCCTAGCGCCCAAACAGGTTCCGTTGTCGCGCAGACAAGACGAGCGCAAAGGAGATGCTGAGCGTGCCCCTTAGAGGAATTGGCACTTTCTCTTCTTCCTCTTGAGGCCCCCTACTGCGGGGACCGACGTCTTCCCATCGCCTCCGCCCACGGCCGAGGCAGTGGGCGTCTCCAGGTTCCTCCGGTCGTTGGCCACAACGGTCATGATGGCCTGTTCGAAGATTTCGTCGACGCCGCGCATTTCTTTACTGCTGCATTCCATGTACTGCGCGCCCATCTTCTTGGCGACGGCCATGCCCTGCTCCGAGGTGACGGGCGTGAGGCCCTGGGTCTTGAGCATGTCGATGCATGACTTCTTGTGCCGGAGATCTGACTTGAGGCCGACGAGAATCAGGGGGGTGTAAGGGCAGAAATGCAGAACCTCCGGGTACCACTTTTTTTTCTCAGAGTTAGCAGAGACTTGGGAGTCGCTCCAACCAGTTGACGCCGGAAATTGGATTCAGGGGTGGGGGGTGGTTAGGGGGGAGGTTGCGGGAAGCTTTGGACATTACCTTGTCCATGACATTGTCCAGCGAATTGGGACAGTCGATGGCGAAGCAGACAAAGATGAGGTCGGTTTCCGGATAAGACAGCGGGCGGAGGCGGTCGTATTCTTCTTGGCCGGCGGTATCCCACAGGGCGAGCTCTACCGTCTTGCCGGTGGGCGGGTGCGTCGGGTACGTGATGTAGTTTTCGAATACTGTAGGAACGTATTTCTTTTGCGAGGGACGTCGACAGTCAGCATCCGTCGCGTCGGGGAACAAAGAGAAAGGGATGGGGAAGAGAAACAAAGGCGGCGAGGCTGGCTGCGTGCGGCTGAAGCATGCCCTTGCCTGCCCTGTGCATTGCTTACCTCTGGAAAATAGCCCTGGCTGTAGCTGATGAGCAGACATGTCTTGCCGCATCCACCGTCTCCTACAACGACAATCTTCTTCGAGTATGTCGGGGCCTCCGTTACGTGAGTCGCTGCTGATTCGCGGCCTGAGGACGAGCTCATGGTTGTACTGACAGTTCCCTCGCTGGAGCGGGTGCGCTGGCCGCGCCTCTCGTGGCTGCCCATCGCATACTGCGAGTTGCGGTTCTGATACGCCGCCATGGTTTGGCAAATCGGATGGCTTATGCGAAGTTGCGGATGCGTCTCGAGGAGCGCTCGGGGATCGCGGAGCCCTTTGTCTCAGGTGTTCAACAGCCGCCCGTCTCTTGCTTTGTCGTCGCTGTCGCCTGCGTTCTTCCGGGGCCCTGCTTCAAACAAAAGAGAAAATAGGAGTGGGCACCGCGGCGGGAAACAAACAAAGGCGGAAACGGGTTGGTCTCGCCCTGGCAAGCCCTTGGGGAGCGCTGGGGGATGCAAGCAAAAATAAGGGAAACAATGCGGTGTAAAATAAAAGAGATGAAAGTAAAAGAAGATGGAGAGAGGATTCGCGGCGGTGTGGGAGTTTGGGGATCGCGGCGAGACGAGGCTCGTTGGACTGGATTTCGGTAGCGCAGTTTCCCCCGTTGGCGGAAGGGTTGCAGAAAAAGAGTCGACGAGACGGGCAGAGAGGCTGGGGGGCGGGAAGGATGACGATGTTGTATGTACTCGCAGTCTAGTTAGCAGTAGTAATAGTATGTATGCACCAAAGCACTTTGGCTCTGCTGTTGCTGTTCGCTCCGGGCAACGAGTTGGTGGGACAGAGACGGTTGCTGCAGCTGGCCTTGGGTCGGGGGCTGATGGAAACCACCAGCCATTTGGGCTGAGTAAACAGTTGGCCCGGCAACGGATGGGGCGGTGCACTGACGTGACGCTTGGAAAGTGGCTGGTTAGGGACATTAGCAGTGGACCTACCTTAGTAGTAGTGGCTGGGGCGGGTCGTTGTGCCGGCGCCGGGGTTGGCCCGTGCATTAGCCGCGAGCGAAAATTCTACAGCTGGACGCGTGCGTGAGGAAAACTGCAGCGTGCCTCGAGCACTACTACCACGCTTTTTTCTTTTCTTCGTCAACCGTTTCTTTCCATCTTCTTCTTCTTCTTCTTCCTCTCTCTTCCTCCTCCTCGCCGCAGATTGTTCTGCAAATACCCAGCCATACGGCCAGCATCATCACATCACACCACCATGGACGACCTCGCACCGCCCAGCAAATACGTCACCCTCGTCTCCGGCGACGGATTCGAGTTTGTCGTGCTGCGCGAGGCTGCCATGGTGAGCCCCATCATCAAGGGCATGCTGGATCCGAGGAGTGCGTCAAGATGATCAACAGCCATCTGTCCCTCTGCCTGCCCTGCTCACACTTCTGCGCAGGTCAGTTTGTCGAGGCTCAGCACGCCCGATGCGTATTCCAAGAGATGAGGTGAGGATGCTCATTTGCACGGCAGATGGAAAATGCCATGGGATGACGATACTTTGATGAGCATTTACTTGACAGAACGCTGCCGTTTCTCCCCGGACTTGATGTCTGGAGGAGAGTGTGCTCGCTGGTCTGGCTGATGTTGCACTACACTTGAACCGACGAACAAAACCTGCATTGGATCGGCCTTGCTATCTTGCTTGCAATGGTGTCTGATCTGGCTGGCTGACTCACGACAGCGGAACGGTTCTCGACAAAGTTGTCGAGTACTTCCACTACTGGTACCGCTACAAGGACAGCGAAGACGTGCCCGACATGGACATTCCTGTAGAGCTGTGCCTCGAGTTGTTGGCCGCCGCCGATTACCTGGGCTTGGATCAGTAAGCCATGTGGGAGTCGAGCTACAGGCACTTCTAACCTTGATATGACAGGGCCAACATGAGCACGAAATGAAGGCTTCGTTACGACGGATTTGCACATTGATGACTACGACGACATGATACCACACATCACACACCACACACCTCTGACGAATAGAAGAGGGGAGAGATATAAATAATAACAGAACGAACCACAACAGCCCGTTTTCCCCTGCCCCGAATGTGACGCTCCCTTTGCTACACCATCTCAGCATATGCGTTCCTCTCTCACTCCTCCGTGGGTTGAACGTCTATTAGATTTGGAAGATTGATTGCCTCCCTCTCACTCTGCTTGACTCACAGTTCTCCCGTTGAGCTCTCGCTTTTTTTGTAGGGGCACATGCCTTTGTGGTGACTGCGTAGACGTAGAGCATGTGTACCTGCTGCCGAGTACAGATACAATGCATATACTTCCACGATACTATGTAGTTTTCGAGAGACAAGGTCTTGTTGCACGCAAGAGCTCTTCTTCTCTGATATCGTATCACCGCTTGCATCCCCGTGGAAGTGGCGTAGAAAATGCAGTGACTCTTATCCTAGCCACAGTGGCTGCCTGATTGGCTATGACACATTCTTCCTCTGTCCTTGCAGCTCTACGAAGGGGAAAAAAATCCACCATTCTCAACTCATTGGGGCTGCCCTCTCCCTGTATCAATCGGACGGTATCATCATTTGTTTGTTTGATTTGGATGCTATTCACTTTCTCTGGCTGTCGTTGCATCAGACCCTGTTTTCGCCCAGCCTACAGTTGGCGCGGACGCGCGCTACAACACCCGCCATCACCACCACTTCTTTTTCGACGCCACTTCCGTTGCTCCATGTTGAAAATGGCAGCTGAAACGTTTGAATCGCAGGGCGTTCGAGTCGCTGTCGAGGGCTGCGTGCGTCTCTCTGCCCCCCTGGCCCTCTACCGCGGCCCCCCTCTTGTCTGCTGGTGATGGACCTCAACTGACTCTACCTTTCGTCTCCAGGGCCATGCCAAACTCAACGCGATATACGCCTCCGTCGAGCAGTCCGCCAAGGAGCGCGGCTGGGATGGCGTCGACTTGCTCATCATTGGCGGAGACTTTCAGGTACTTGCTTCCTTTCCCAGGTATCTCGCACTCTTCGTTGCATTTAGTGCTGATACTGTACCCGTAGGCTGTGCGCAATGCCGCTGACCTGACAGTCATGTCGTGTCCCGTCAAGTATCGCAAGCTCGGCGACTTCCAGGAGTACTACGCCGGCAGCAGGAAAGCCCCCTATCTGACCATCTTCATTGGCGGCAACCACGAGGCTGCCTCGCACTCCTGGGAGCTCTACTACGGCGGCTGGGTGGCGCCCAACATCTACTATCTCGGCGCTGCCAACGTGATACGGCTGGGACCCATCCGCATTGCTGGCATGTCTGGGATCTGGAGGGGCGTAAACTACCGCAAGCCGCACTACGAGAGGCTTCCGTTCAACGGCAGCGATGTCAAGTCATTTTACTCGGTGCGAGAGATTGACGTCCGGAAGCTCCTCTTGCTCCAGACGCAGGTTGACATCGGCCTCAGTCACGACTGGCCACGCCAGGTCGAGACGCACGGAGATCTGAACAGGCTGTTCCGAGACAAGCCGTTTCTCAGACAAGAATCGACCGAAGGGTCCTTGGGCAGCGTGGCTGCCGAATACGTCATGGACCGCCTGCGGCCGCCGTACTGGTTCTCTGCGCATCTGCATGTCAAGTTTGCCGCGCTCAAGAAGTACGACGCGCCAAAGGCGGAAGAGGCTGTCCAGGCGGCCAAACCTGCCGAAACTGCACCTCCTGTGCAAGATAACCCGGATGAGATTGACCTGGACATGGACGATGAAGAAGCTTCCAATCCTGGTGACACTTCCAAACCCGCAGCTCCAGAACTCCCGGAGAGTGAGGCCACGGACAAGGCCGAGGAAGCGACCGGTTCTGTGCCTGAAGACTTGAGAGCGCAGTTGCCGGCATCATTTGCTCGTCCTACTGAAAGAGTGAGGCGCACGCCCGGGCAGCCGGTCCCTCCCGGCATCAAGAACACAGAGGTTCGCTTTCTGTCGCTGGACAAGTGCCTGCCCGGGCGGCACTTCCTGCAGCTATGCGAGATCCAGCCCTTTGACAAAGAGCAGCTGTCGTTGCATCCACCTCAGACCGGCTCGGGCCCTCGCTATCGACTCGAGTACGACGCCGAGTGGCTGGCCATCACCCGCGCCTTTCACAAGCTCAACGTCTTTGGCGACTTCACAGCCCAAGTGCCCGAAGACCTAGGCGAGGAGACGTATCGGCCCCTGATCGAGGCGGAGAGGGCGTGGGTCGAGGAGAAGATTGTGCAGAGGGGGAGGCTGGCGGTGCCGGACAACTTTGAGCAGACGGCGCCGCCGCACGTGCCCGGGACGCCTGAGATTGTCAACGAGCAGCCGCACGAGTACACGAACCCGCAGACGGCGGCGTTCTGCGAGCTCTTGGGCGTGGACAACCTGTGGGATGCTAGCGCGGAGGAGAGGAAGCAGCGGAGGCTTCGGGGGCCGGTTGAGACACATCACCAGCCTGGTCACGGACGCGGCGGTGGAGGTGGAGGCGGAGGCGGAGGCGGAGGCGGCAGAGGGAGAGGGGGAGGAGGAGGGGGCCGTGATGGGAGGGGAAGGGGGAGGGGGAGAGGAGGTGGCGGGCGAGGAGGAGGAGGAGGATTCTACGGAAGGGGGCAATACTAGAAGAGTGGAATATGTGTGAAATTGTGAGCTGCAAATTGTTTATAGAAGCTTGGCCTTGACCTATTCAAGTGGATGGAGGAATATCTCGAATCTGAGCGTACGAATAATGGGCAAATTAGCATGGGTTTCTTGGTCAACCTGGAGATGATTTACAGCAGTGGATGGGTGATGTGCCCCTCCCCTTATTACAAGTACCTTGTGATGACAAGCCTCATTGTTTACTACTGGTACTACTACCAGGAAATTGACTGTGGATGCCCCCGGTGGGATAGGAGTTTGTTTACCCACTTCTGCTTTACATGTGTACGAGTATGCACAAGAAAATGTGCTAATGCACGTCTCACCGGATGGTCAATCCATGCGCCAATGGCCATTGCGAGCGAATAGGATCTCCAGGCATCGGTTTTTGTCTTCAAAGGCCCACACGTACCATGGAGGCTAAAAATGGACGAACATGTGATACTACTTGGTGCCTGTTGATGAGGACATGTGAAGTAAACAACTCGGTTTTGTTGTTGTTGTCGTTGTTGTTGTTGTTGTCACTGCCATGTTTGGAGATTCTGCTAGATGAGGCAAAGGTAGGTTAACAATCACCTGGCATAGGTCAGTCTGTATGAGAAGAATGAATCTGTTTCGCGAGCTATTTTCTTTTCTTTTTTTTTTTTTTTTCGCAGGGGTTCCGCGATAGAAGGAAGGTCTTAACAAAGCCAGGGGAGGGAACTCGGATGTTTCCATCGTGAAATATTTCCTCCTGTTATGGCTTGCAGTATTTTTCTCTTTTTTTTCCAGCAGAACATGTCGAGACTTGTGCCGATTTGCATTTCCTTTTGTCCCGCATCTCATTCACTGACGTTAAACAACTCAAAACCTGCTATGAAAAGGGGGGGGAATCGGATAGGAAAACATGGGACACCTGCAGAACCTCATGACGTGGGCCAAAGCCCAAGGCGTTCATTCGCCGTCAACGGCATCCAGCCCGGCAAGATCCCCCGGCCGAGGCACCGGCATCCTCGCGACACGCAAGATCAAGGTATAACCTAAGGAAAACTTGCGCAACTTGTAGGGGGGAAATGGGCCCTTCTAGTGATTTGTCCTGATAGATGGCCGGTTCAGTCAGACTCATGGGGTAGATATAGAGAACAGGACACATTCGGATGGAGACACACATATGGAAGCACCGGAGTTGACATGTTCCCCATGGACAATCGAGTATCTGATGTCTTTGGAGTTGTTATCGACTGATCATTGGTTGCCAACATACATCCTACTATTGAAGAATATGAAAGCCCTACTTTGGTCTCAACAAATAACACCAGTGATATATATCCGGATCCGTCACCTCCTTCTTCGCCGTCAGGACCTTGTCCAACACCTCAACAGCAAACGGCAACCCCTCCAAGTCAAACCTCGCCGCAGAATAGCTCAACGACACCCAAACCGCGCCGCCGCCATCATCATCATCATCCGCAAGACACTCCCTCACGCAGCGGGCCATCCGCCGGACCTGTTCTTCCCCGCCGCACGAGATCGCGTCTACGGTGCTCTTGTCAACCACGAGATTGAACTTCTGCTTCTTCTTCTTCTTCTCGTTCATGATGGCGGGGCTATGATGATGATGATGCGTTTCTGATGATGATGAAGTAGTGTTTTGGCTTGGTTCATGGATCATCAGTGACTTTGTGGCATCTGCGACTGCGTACTTGGTCTTCACGTCGCCAAAGGCTTGCCGCTCGAGCTGTTGTCCTCGTTCAATGGCCAGAGGCTCGTAATCTACGTTTGTGACGTCCAGGAAGCCGAGACGGCGGAAGTGGTTGTGCAAGTCACTTGTTCCGCAGCCGACGTTGAGGATCCGGGTAGATGTGCGGTCGAGGTTGCTGAGAAGAGGCTTGAGGATGGCGACGAAGTCGGTGGAGCTGAGGAGCCATTCAAAGGAGGTTTCGGCAGAGAAGCGCTGGTGCCAGTATGTTTGCTGGTCAAAGTCCGCGGGCATGCTGAGGATGGATGCAGGGAATCACAACATATCTCGGAGTTTGCAAAACAGAAGATGAGTGTTGAGGAGAATCTGGTTGTCGGAAGAGTAGAGATGAGGCTTGTGAGGCTGACCGGCGAATGGACCCGGGTGGGGCCGTGGTCAAGAGGGGGGGCAACTCTGGTGAAGACGAGGCTTGATGTAAGAACAAGGCTTGAGCTTCATCTGTAAGGTATGAATCCGGTTGACATAACTAGCTGTAAGGGAATCAAAAGGAGATTAGTTGACCAGGACCAGAGCCTAATAGTACCTGAATGTGAACCCGTCAAATGTGCCCACCTCTTCCGGCTCAACCAGCCACAACCCGACCTTGTACAGAACCTCCTTATCCACTCCCACCTCGTCTCTCAGATATGTTATCGTCTCCTTCGCCCGTTGCTTCCAAGTCTCCCAGTGAGCTTCTTTGAAAAAGGGCTCTGACTCTGGATGTCTGCTCCGCTCTAGACACTCGACTGTCTGTTCCCTCCCGACAACCTCAATCATCAAGGCCAGCAAGTCCTTGCAACCGAGCCATGCGGCGGCCGCCAGAGCACTGCCGTGACGTCCCACGCTCAACGTCGCGGCGGGATCCGCACCAGCCTTGAGTAAAAACTCCAGCGCCTCGCTGAGGCACTTCGGCCTGTGCTCTGCTGCCGGGAAGAAAGAAAACAACGCTTCCAGCGGGCTGCCGTATCGACCGCTCTTCAGGGGCAGCTTGGCGTCTGCGCCGTGGGCGACAAGCAACCGCATGATTTCCACCTGGCTATAGTCGGCCCTTGTAGCAGCAGCGACAAGAGCACTTCCGTAGATGCCGCACTCCACAGGGGCATTCGCATCCGCCCCGGCTTCGAGCAGAATCCGGACCGCTTGGGGCGTGCCTCTGCATACCGCTGTGGTCAGCGCATTGCCATAGCTGCTGCCGGCTTCGCTGTTCACATCCACCCAGCCTTGGCCCAAAGCCCACGGTAGCAGATCGAGATTCTGCATGATCATCCACTGAACCGGAGTAGACCTCATGAAGTAATCTTGGACGTCGGCGTTGACATCGACCCTGCCCTCCGACACCAGAAGCGAGATAATGTCCTTGTTGCCTCGAACTATCGCAGTTTTCATTGCCCTGTAGTGCCCTTCGGCGAGAGGATTGTTGATATCCATAACACGCAATAGTATTCTGCAGATCGGCGCACAATCGGCCATGGCCGCAAGCCCGAGTGCATTGGAGCTGCCCGAGCATCTCGAAAGCGCCATGTCTTCGGTGATACTGCCATTGTGCCACCAGTCACGCAGAACATTGTAAAAACCGTAGCGACACATGGTGAATACAGCCATGTTGTTGGGCAATAGCTGTGCTTTAGAGCTCCATCTCGTAAAATAGTGACACTTGTCAAGCCAGCGTTTATAGTGCTCGCTGCTTTCTTCTGGAGACCCGAGGAAGTGCTTGAGAGCCCTCACAAGCCTTGCATCCGGTGCTATGCCTCCCATGGAGCCCAGCCATTTGTCGTACCGCTGGACGTGCAGAGGCCACGTATGCGCAGCATACTCTCCGAAGGAACAGATGGGCATTTCCTCAGAAGGCTGTGCCACGTACCAGGGTTCCCATTCAAACTGCATAAGAAAGTTGAGTGATGTCCTGGCAACAAAAGCATCGCATTTCCCCAAGAATAAGCCTTTGGACTCGAAGTATTCAGCAACGGAAGCATGCGACAGCATCCAAACTTGTCTCTGCTCATCGATGATCAATAGGTCCTGGCAGAGTGACAATATCTGCTGTTCAGATTGCTTGTCTTTTTGCACCAGTCCATCTCCCTCAAAAGCATATCGGATTGCTTCCAAGTAGATTGCGGAACTTAGTGGCTCCAAAGAACACATCACCCATTGAACGGCCCGCTCAGCTAGGGCAATGTCATATTCGTTGCGCTGTGCTCGTATACCCTCCCACAGCTGATCGTAAGTTCCCATCAGATCAGGGGGTATCGTATTAGCCCACAGCCTAATCGCGTCATCTGAGGTGCATAATCTGAGCCTTTGGACTTGTAAATAGACCCATCGAAACCTAGAATATACAGGCAACGTCAGTGAATCTTGACTTTCAGTCAAGGGCAAACATAGCCATGGCAAGACCAACGGCGGGTGATTGTTGCTGTGTACTTACATTCCGCCATTTCGAGACGCAAACGTCTCCCTTATGAGCCCCTGGATCCCTTCCTGCCGGTCCTTAAATAGCCGTGTGGAATAGAGCTTCTCATTGAGAAATCTCTCAATATCATCTCGTTGATTGCTGCTGTCGATTGTGATGGTAGTCTTGGTGTCAAATGCGTCCATGTACTCTCGATCAGGGCGAGTCGATATGAAGAGCTTGACCGGCTTTGTGGCCTTGCCCACCAGTTCGATCAGAATCTCTGCCAAGTTGTAAATCGTTATGTCAGATTCATCCAAAGCATCAAGGATGATGGTGGTCCTTGAGTAGAGGTTCAGCGAGTCTAGAATGAGCTCTTTGCAATCATGGTAACCGAAATCCCGCCCCTCTTTGTTCGCTAGTTCACATTTGTGGATGACCTTTTTCTGAAGAAAGTCATAGTCGAATGCCCTATAGGATAGCTGGCGTGCGAGACTTCTCAGGACCGTGAGAGGATCTTGCATCGAAGGCCCAGATCGGTTACAGTAGAAGAAGGCGAACCCTTCGTCGTGAGCTGAGGATTCCAAAATCCCCTTCATGTGATCAATCACTCGAGAAGTCAGATACGTTTTGCCGGTGCCCACTGACTCAGGTTAGAGTTAGATCAGATCCAGAACGTAGAATGAGAAACTGACCAGTTCCTGTAAGGCAAAGCACTGCTGAAGATGAGGGTATCGCTTGCCAATCACGAAAGCCGTCATGATGTATCAGCCAATTGCCCGTGTTGGCTGTTCTTGTTTCTCTGACGGTGGCGTGACTTTTCCCGAATTTCTCAGAGCTGATAAAGTGCATGAGCCTCTCCAGTCGGTCCCTGTCAACTGCCTCGAGGAGCCTGACCACACCCTTGTCGATCCGTGTCACCGGTGACGAGAGCCCATCGAGTCTTGCGAGCGCGGTTTTTATTCCTTGATCAAGCTTCCCATGGGCCTTGGCTTGGCGCGACAACTCACAGGCCTGGGCTTCCAGTTGGACCTTTTGTTCTTTCTTGACCAAATCTGAAAGGAAGTCTGCAGTTTGTTGGGGCCGAAGAAGGACTTCCAGAGTTTGACCGGCCTTCCCGCTTCTGATCAACTTGTCAGATCGAGCCAGGAATTCCATTGCCGCAATGTATAGGTCAAGGAGTGCAGATCGCAGGTTCGACACAGCTTGTTCGTCCGTCGTTGATGCCTTATATAGAAGCTCATACACCTGACCTCTGCGGATAGCGCGTGTAAACCACTGGATCGTGGCAGCAAGTGCTGCCATTTGGTCAGCTCGCTGAACCGGAATCTAGTACCAATTAGCCTTTCAAGTCGAGGAGAAATGCAGTAGATTAAAGGCCTTACTTTCAATAGGGCCTTCCCAGCAGCCCACGGTGCACTGGTCTCTCGCGGCACGAGCGTTGCAGTAAGATCACCAGCCATGGTGAGAAAGTTGACCACATCGGCCACATATTCGCGGAAAACAATCGTCTGGTTGCCAATTCTGAGTTTTGTGGGCGTCCTTCTGTTGTTAAGCAAAGATTGGCTCTGGAGATGGTCGATAAGCGCTTTCGCCTGGCCGTCGGAATCAGCATTTGGCGTGGAGCTGAGCCCATGTTTTTGAATCCAAGTTTTCGTCTCGTCGTTGACGCTGCGAAAAACTTCTTCCCAGAGGTTCACGGATAGAGAATGATCCGTAGATACTTCGGCGCCGTCGAGATTCGAAGCCGTTTCGGGACATGTGGTTGGAGGCGGAGATGTCGTTTCGGTAGCTGGAGGAGAAGAGATATCCTCTGTATCCAGAGTCGGGGAGCTATCCTCGGTAGCTGCAGTAGAAGATGCGTCCTCGGTATCTGGAACAGAAGCTTCTGTTACCATAACCCCAGATAGGTCGGGGCACGGTGTAAGAGATGGAATGATGGTTGACTGAGAGCTTTCTCCTGGGGGGGTTGAGGGTGGAGGCGGGTCGGTAGGTGCTCCATCGCTGTTTGAAACAGAGGGAACTGTGATAGCTGAAGAAGATAGAGGCTCGGCAGCTGGAGGAGCATATTCATCCTCAATATCCTGAATAGGGGATGCTTCCTCTGTATGTTCAGCGGAGGATAACCTTTCGCTACCTTGAACAGAAAGGGATGTCTCAACAACCGGAGACGGGTCCAGAGAGGGGCTAGGAGGAGTCGATGGCCGAGACGTCAATTGAGGTCGTAGAATTGCATCATTTTGCGGCGTACTGGAAGGTAGAGACGCTGTCGATGCCCTGGTCTGAGGAGAGAGTGACGGCTGAAGATGCGGCGGACCAAATTGCGAGCTGCTGCCTTGCAGCGACGTAGACGATGGCCTTGGAGTTGGCAGAGGGCTTCCCCTTGGAGGTTTCTTTAGGGAATTCCAGAACTTGCCGACCCTCTTCTTCGTTCCCTCTTTGAAGCTTGCCTTTGCTCTGCCCTTCCATCTATCCCTCCATTTTGCCTTTAAGCTTGCGTTCGGCATTGTTCGCCCAATCTGTTGTAGAAGATGAAGATGGTAGAGACGGCATGGAGTAAGGCCTCAACGAGAAGTATCCCAGGACAGTTCCATTAAGGGTTCTGCAGTTGCACAACCCCTACCGCGCGGCAATGGAGGTCGCGTTCGAGCCGCATTTCGCATCATCTCATTGGCCGTATAGCCACAGAGGATGCCTTGCAGGCCGCAGCACCTCCAGCGGAACAGCCTGCCTCTTTGGGTCATTTTTAACATGGGATGATTCGAGCCCGGTAGAGCCAACAACTGTGTCTCAACTCTGTATGCCTCGGCCACACAGCATGACCAACACACGAGAATCCGTCACCGAAGGAAGCCTTGGCGCCCGGGCAGATGCATGGGTTGCTTCGTAGCGGTGGGCATGTGTCGCTTGAAGGTGTAGATACTCATCGACTCAAGATCAGCGTTCACGATCTTGGGAAAGGTCCCTGTCCCGGATGGCCGTGAATGTCGTGACAGTCTGATAGCCTCCATCGTCCAAGTAGCCGGCCTTGTGAATATACTGTACAGGTGAGCTTAGGTTCACATCAATGGATTGTCTAGAGAGACCTGATAACTGACTCTTGTACTGACAAACCTTCGACCAGAACGTGCCTTACTCACACTCCAACAGCAGATAAGACCGTCATGGCAAACCCTCGCCAATGATCAACTATCGGACAGGAAATGAAGCTCGGATAGAAGCAAAAGAAGGTAAGAGTCAAGGATGGCATTGGTAGGATCACTATCCTGGGTATGAGCGGCGTTGAAGTTGAGTTGACACTGGAGCGGAGGACATAAGCTCAGGTCAGTCCCTACAGTACAATGTCTGCACCGCTGAAGGTCGAGTTTGCAGCCTGTTCTTCAGCGCGACCCCCTCTGTAGCTGCCTGTGGGTTAGTGGCGTGGGGTGCTGCCGAACGTTCATCCCTCCCTTTGTGCCTTGTACAAGGCTGTGCTGCTTCATGCTCCGTGCAGATAAGGTACAGAATACCTCCTTGCTTCCCCCCCAAATCTGTCTGCCGCAGCAATTGACGGCATCGTCACACCTTGCCTTCTTTCCTCCCACTCTCTTCTTCCTCAACCAACCTCAAGTCTTCAAGCCGTCAACACGCGTAATATCGCGGGGGCAGGGCCTACAGGGGGACAATTGAATCTTTGTCTGACATTTCTCCCTGAGCCTCGCTTTTGCGGCATTCTTCACTCCTCGCAGCAGCCCGCGCATTATGATTTAACAACCCCGAGAACCCCCTTCTTCCCTTCCTCTTCTCTTCTCCTCCCCTTCTCTTGCCGCGACCTCGACTCTACCAGCCATGGACGACGCTCCCGTCCCCAAACTGTCGGATCTGCTACGGCATCCTGACGACCTCGACAAGATACCCGCGCTGAAGCTCGAGCTGTCGCGCAAGAAGAGCGCCGTCGATGGGCAGCTACGCAATGGCCTCCGGGAGCAGCTCGAGACGACGCAGTCGGGCATGAACGGCCTCAGCGACGGCCAGAAGGCGGTGCAGCAGATTAAGGAGGAGATGATGAAGATTGACAAGCTGTGCTCCGAGTCACAGACCATGATCAAGGACTTTGCCAGCATCAACATGGTGTCACAGGCGCACCGCAACTTTGGCGCCGTCGAGGCCATGAGGCGCAACCTCGAAACGTTTAACGAACGCCTGGCCGTCGTCGAGCGGATGCTGCGCGAGGACGACGACGACAACGAGAACATGCCGAACCTCCTCCCGTGCCACTACGAGCTGACGCAGCTGCGCAACATACGAGACGACGCCATGGAGCAGATCCAGAGGGCCGAGGACCCGAGCCTGGAGTCGACTCTAGAGGACTACTTCACACGGCTGGACGATACGATCGACTGGTTTGACGAGCACGTCGGTATCTTGGCTATGAACCTCATCAACCTCGTCGTCAGCGACAACAACGGCCTGGTGGTTCGCTTTGCCGTCGTCATGGAGGCGGAGGAGAAGAGTGACCAGCGCGTCATGGCCCTGCAGGAGGCACTCAAGGACCACGAAGAGATGGCAGCCCGTTTCCAAGGTATTACCGACGGTGCTCGCAAGGTCCGCGGCTACAAGGACAAGTTCATGCAGGCCATCAAGGTCAGCGCGGAGCAGCAGTTCCAGCAGGCTCGAGAGGACTTTCTCGATGACGCCGACGGCCTCGAGGCGGCGATGAAGTGGTTCTTCAACGATCTGAATGCCGTCAAGATTGGCATGACGCCGCTCATGCCGAAGAAGTGGCGGATCGCAAAAACGTACGCCGACATCTACCACGTCTTGATGCACGACTTCTTGATCGGCATGGTGGACGACCCAGAAGCCAGCTCCGCGCACACGCTAGCCATTGTCAGCTTTCCCGAGAAATACTACAAGAAGATGGCCAAGCTTGGCTTTAAACAGGAAGACCTGGTACCACACGTCATCGACAACCGCGAGGCGGAGCTCGTTCGCGATTTTCGACAGCTCATTATCAAATTCCTCGACGAATGGATCGATCGAATTTTCGAACAGGAGAAGCGTGACTTTGCCGAGCGTAACACCGAGGGCTCCAACTTGGATCAGGATGAGTATGGCTACTTCCGGACCAAGAACCTGGTTGCCCTGTGGAGGATGCTGCGCGAGCAGGTCGAGGCGGCCATCAACTCGCAGCGTGCAGACGTGGTCGAGGGTGTTGTTGACGCCATGTTCCTACGGTTACGCAGCCGGCAGCAGTCGTGGCAGCGCATGCTCGACGACGAGGCTGAGCGCTACGAGAGCGGCAGGATCCCTGACCTGGAGGGTTTCCAGGCGCTGCAGGACTGGCTCGTGGCCACAGCCAACGACCAGATCGCCGTCATCGACGATAACGAGGAGGAAAACCGGCTGGGCTACCTGTCGAGCTTCCGACAGCAGTTTGAGCGCAACGTCAGCCCGCAGTACCTCGAACGCACCGAGCAGGAGCTCAACGCCCTACGCGACGGCTACGTCGACTTCAGCACCTGGTGCATCCACAAGTTCGCCCACCTCGTCTTCGTCGTCGACTTCAAGGTCGTCATGCCCGACTTCTTCACCCCGAAATGGTACACCAACACGGCCATGAAGCAGATGGTCGTCACTTTCGAGGAGTACGTCGGCGAGTACCGCCAGGCTCTTCACCACTCCCTCGTCGACATCTTCATTGAGATCTTTGCCGACGAGCTGCTCGTGCGGTATCTGTCATCGGTGCGCAACAAGGGAGCAAAGTTCCGGCGCGTCGACCCCTTCCGGGATAAGCTCTTCAACGATATCGCCACCGCCTTTGAGTACTTTTCCAACTTGGCCAGTCCGGAGGTTGCCATGTCTATCAAGGACACGTGGAGAGTCACGGAACACTTCTTGGCCTTGATCTCCGTGGATAAGGACTCCGTGGCAGACGCGTTTGCGGCGTTCAAGTCTGCGTACTGGGATCTGCAAATCAGCTGGGTCGAGGCTGTGCTGCGGTCCAGGGACGATTTCGAACGAAGCATGCTGAATGCCGTCAAGGCGAGGGCGGCGCAAATGGACGTCGTCAGAGGGCCGGAGACGGTCATGGCCAAGATTAAGTAAAGCACAATGTCACCCCACGATACGGAAAGCTTTTCTATATGGCTGTATATATATGACGAACGATGATGGGAAGGGCTCAAGGGGCCCAACAAACAAATGCCTGCTCTGTACGGGGGGAGGGGCTAGGCAATTTGAGGCAGTCGGCTGGAAGGAGAAGGGAAAAAAGTCAGGAGAACTGAATTGGGGTGCAGATGCATCAGAGAGTGTGGGAAGTTGTTCAATTACACGGGCGGGAAGGGGTGTTTTCTCACGGCATGAATGATTCTCATCTATTCTATATTAGCGTTTTCTTTTTGCTATGGGATCATATGTTTCGGTGGACGTTTCTTATGCAAGAGGTCTTATGCGTGAGGCGAGGCAGTGGAAGACGAAGAACAATCTTTGTCAAAACAGTTGAGTTGAGTCGAGACACATCTCACAAAAATTCAGTTACACCAAACCCGCCATCAGGCATGATGCACGGAAAAAAAAAACCGTAAGAAGAATAAAGTAAGAAAGACAGAGTCTCTAACCATCGAGACATACATTCCTCACTCAACAAAGGTAAAATGAGATGAGATATGGGTGATAACAAAGGAAAGAGGAAAATGGTTATAGGACAAGGACTAGCGGTCGGTTTATAATAAGACAAAACTTCCCGCATCAATTCGATAACGTAGTAGAGCAACGACTGCGACAGCTTCGTACAGATACATTCTGGCCCTTTATTGCAAGAAGAGAAGAACAAGGATATAAAAGCAAGAAAAAAACAATGTCAAAAAATTCAGAAACCCCCACCTCCCAATCCTATGCGACAAAAGAACGAACAAGCAGTGTACTATGGGTTGCCGTGCCTTTCCCCATCTACCATGGTGAAAGGCTTGATCTGTATTCAAGAACCAGTTGCATCACCATTCTTGGCTCCTTCTAAGACTGGCTGGCGAGAAAGTTGGCAGCCTAAGCAAAGTTGAGTCAGTCATGAAGAACTATCCATACCAGTCGTCCAACTTCTTAGTGAAATTGGGTGACAGAGTAGGAAAAATACTCACCCTTTCCAGATTGTAGTCATACTTCTCGAGCGCAGCAAGGGCGTCAGGACGCGAGTAACCCATGCTGGTCAAGTTCTTCAGAATTGGGTCATCGTGCTCTCCTGCCTCCGTGAGGGCACGTCCAGGAGCAGGGGGACGAGTCTCGGCATTTTCTTCCTTTGGGGGACCCGTGTTGTTGCTGTGCACGGGCTGTGCTGCGGGGACGGTGGGCGAATCGAGTGTAGAGAAGATGGCGTCCCAGTCGTGAGCCTGCTGTCCATTGCTAGACTGGCCGGGAGCACTGGCGGCCGAGTTGGATGAGATGAAGTCAAAGCTGCTTTCATTACCAAACGCCGTGGACTCGCTCTTGGCCTGGCTGGCTGGAGGGCTGCTGTCAAACATAGGGTTGTAGTCGTCCAGTCCAGAGCGGGAAATGTTGGCAAAGTCGTCATCCGCGGAGCCTTCCTTGGCATCCTCCAAGCCCTCGAAATCATCGTCGAGGTCGTCGAAGGCGCCCTTGGAAGCAGGAGGCTGCTGGCTGTGGTTGCCAGCGCTGGAACCAAAGATGTCATCTGCGTTGGAGGTCTGAGAGATGGTATTGTTGTTGGTTATCGTGGCGGGTGAAGAGGACAGTTCCGCGCTGCGGGATTGGAGTTAGTGAATGACGGCAGACATGACGCAGAGACTAAATCACCGTGGGACGCAAAAAGCAAATCAAACGCAAACGCAAAACGACTTTCATTCTTCGTGCACTATTTACCTTTTGGCTTCGGCCTCATGGGTAGCTGGCACGTCCTGAGATGGTGACTGAGGGGCGGCGGAGTCGGAGGCTCCTCCGGTAGCAGGTCGGTGAGACTCAGGAGTTGGCTCCGGAGCGACCTGCTTCTCCTTGGCCTTGTTCTCTGGCGACGCGGGGGCGAAGTCGTCGTCAAAGCCGCCCCTCTCGCTGTCAGACTCAGACACATCTCGCTCCAGCTCCGAGATGGGTGGGAACTCCGTGTCAAAGGCGTTGTCGAAAGCGCCCTGGGGCTTCACGGCAGCGGATCCCTTGTCGGCGCCGTTGCCGGAGGATTTAGTCGAGGTGAAGGCGGCAAATGCATTGTCAAAATCTGCCTTGGCCTTAGCATGGTCAGTATTGTCAAACGAGCCGGATCGATCTTGAGCTTCTCCCTCCGCGGGCTTCTGCGAGCTATCGCCTTGAGTGGCCGGGACAGGGGTCGCGCTGGCACTATCATGCTTCTCCTCCTCTTCGCTGGAAGCGGGGGCCGCAGGAGCCCCAGCCTCTGCCTCGCCGGAAGGCGCACCGCCGGGGAAAGGGTATGAGCCGGACGCCGAGCCTTCGGCGCGTGAGGAGGTAGGGGGAGACACTTGTCGAGATGAAGACAGTGACTCGTTGTGCTCGGGGAACGGCAAGAAGCTCGAGCTTAGTTGTCGGGACTCTGGCGGCGCGGGAGGTTCAGCACTCAGCGTAGTGACGCGGCTGACATGGGGGGTCGGCCCTGAGTTGTTAGAAAAGGATCCAACACTAACTGATGACTGCCCCGTGTTTTGTTGTCTGAAGGCTGCAACTGGCGGGGGAGTGCCGCTGGAGCTGACGGGGCCGGCGGGGCCAAACAAGTCGTCAAAGGACCGGTCGGAAAAGGCCCTGTTTGGGGGTGGCGGACCAAAGACGCCCATGATGTCTGTGCTGGCGGATCGCTTAAAGAAGGGGTTGTTGCCGCTGGAGGTCGAGAGCGCGGGGCTGGCCAACTGGGCAGACGTGGACACAGGCGAGCCCGTCTCTGCTTGGCGAGAGATGTCCTCGGCGCTCCTAGCCAGAGCCTCGGCCTCCGCCTTGAGCTTGTCGCGCTCTCCCTCAGTGGTGGATAACTGCTTCTTGTTAATCGCGACGAGGCCCTTCTGCTGTCTAGCGTCCAGCCTGAGCTTTTCCAGTTGAGGCTTGAGCTCGGCGACCTCGGCATTTGCCCGGCGAATCCGCTCCCTCAGACTGGCGTTCTCCTGCTGATCAGCCTGGAGGGCAGCCAGGACCTGCTGATGTTGGCCCTGGATGTCTCGCAGCTGTCCTTCCAGATTCATGCATTCTCCCTGCAACTTCTTAGTATCGGCCCGCGAGTTTCTAAGCTTCTCTTCCAGCGCGTGTGTGTCTTGGGCCTCCTTTTCGTACTGTTGCCGCAGCTGCGCCAGTCGTTGCTCAAAGTTTTGCTTCTGGGAGTTAGTTTGGCTCAGCTCGTGCTGGGTCGTGGTTCTCTTGGCCTGAACCTCTTGTGTCTGCTTCGCCAGAGAGCTGATCTGATTCGACAGATTTGCAAGCTCGGTCGTCTCGTCCGAGATGGCCTTGTTTGCCTCGGGATCAGTATCGCCAAGGAGGTCTTCTGAAGCGGTGTGTGAAGCGGTGTGTGGTCGCGGCTGCTCAGCCCCAGGGTGTACAGCCAAGCCACGGCCAAATGAGGAGGATGGCACGAACGGCCGGAACGTCACGCCCACGGGAGATGATGGTTTGGCAGATGGAGAAGCCGGGTGAAGCACACTGATGCCACCGGCGAATGGATCAGCATTGGAGCCTCCCGTAGACATTGTCGTCTGCGCCGGAGCAGGGGGCGCCGGGCTGGGAGTCGAAGAGTCGAGGCCAAACAAGTCGTCGAGAGCAGACTTGGGCGCCGGCGGAGCGGGGGCAGGTACCGGAGCTGGAGCAACATGAGCAGCAACCGGCGCGGGATCAAAAGCCGACGATGACACTGCTGTCGTAGGACGGCTCTGAACTCGCAGCGACGGCGGAATTAGATTCGGGGGGAGAGTAGCGGGCAAGGGAAGATTCCGGTTGCTGCGCTGCTGACGGATCAGGTACATGGCAATGGCGAATCCCTCGCGCGTCAACTGCCCTTGGGAGTGAAAGTCGGCTAAATCCCAGATCTGGGCGAGGGTATCCTCGGGGAGACCTGACTGACTGAGGAAAGGCGCAGCTTCCTCGCCGGTGATGTAACCCTTGTTCGTCTTGTCGAAATCGAGATAGATCTGGTCGAATCTTGCCTTGTCGGCCGGAGTGATGGCCCACTCGTTGCTCGGCACAACGGCGCCCGTAGTCTGAGCAGCGACTATCGGCGGACGATTGAGCGGGCTTCCCGTCCTTTGTTGCTGCTGCGCCGGGCCGCTCAATTGCCGTGGGATGGCCGTGATGCCGCCGGTATTGGCGGGTGATTGCCTGGAGGCGGCCATCGATGCGATGCGTATGGCCACCTCATACAGACCAGCGGGTAGGACATTGGGCAGTGTGCGAAGCTCGCCAGACTTGAAGGACGTGATCAGATGCATGGCGATGATGAACTCGGGCAGGGCAAGTGCACCCCGTTGTTCGGTATCGGCCAGACTCCATATCCTGCCAAGGATTTCGTTGGGCAAGCCGGACTTGCCGAAGATGGTCCTGGCCTGCTCGCCCGGCAGCAATTTATCGTGGAGCTTCTGAGCCGCAAACAGGGAGACATACCGGCTGCCCTTGTCGGGAGCCAGGGGAGGGATTTCATTGCCTCCGGAGACCTGGGGCACGATGGGCGCCTGGACTGGGGGTGGAGGGATGCCTGCGAACTCGGGGAGGCGCGGGGGAGGCTGAAGGGCCAGCTCGGGACTTGGCTGTTTGCCAAGTTGGCAATGAGCAATGAGGCGAAGGGCGACGTAGAAGCCTTCTCTGCTGAGCTTGCCTTCGTTTCCTATATCGGCAATCTGCCATATCTGCAGTCGTGATAGAGAAGCACAGCGGTTAGCTTGAGGGGGAAAATGGGGGGCGTGGGGGTTGACGAATCAATCTCCCTCTCTCCCAAGGCAGAGAGGAGAGACGAATCATGGGAGAGTATAGAGACTGAGGCAATTGAGGAGGCAACGAACCGATCCGAGAACCGTCGAGTTCAGCGTCGTCTTCTCGAACAACGAGACGGCTACTTCGCCGGTGATCCTCTCCCCATCCCGAGAGGCCTGGCTAAACAGCCGGTCGTAGAAGGCCTTCTCATCGTCTCTGAGGTTGAGGTTGAGGTTCGGCACGCCTAGGAGAGCAAAAACAGAACGAATTAGCTTCCGCAACAATCAAAAGGCAGCCCGAGGCGAGAACAAGCTGAGGAATCGAGGAAAAAAGGGCATCCATACTCGGAGCAACACCAGCGGCCGCCGACATGGTCGCACGCAAACAACTAGCAACAGAGAAAAAGTGTGGCGTTCGAATAGCTTTTTCGTTTGAGCGTCCTTCGCTTGGTTTCGTGGGCGGGAATCGTCGAGTCCCCCTTTTTTTCTTTTCGAAAGGGCGCAAAGACCAGATGGGCAAACGTCCCGGGCTCAGGGAGGAGGAGGAGGAGGAGGAGAGAGAAAGAAGGCTTCCAGAAGCTGCGGAGGAGCTCGCAAAGCCGAAGAAACAGCGGGAGGTAAAGCGCAGCAAAAAACCCAAGACAAGCGGTAGGATTAACAGGAACAAGAGAAGCAGCAGCAGCAGCAAACGCCTTTTTGCGGCCCAAGAGTCGAAAAGCGGCTGGGGAGGGTTTGCGGAAAGATGGGTTTGGGTAAGGTATACGAGAGAGCGAGACGAAGTTCGATTGGGTTGAGGTCGGGGGTTTTGCTTGGGTCGCCAGCCTGGGACCGACTGGCCTGCCTCAGTTGGGAAGGGTGGCTGGTCGAAGCTACTACGTACTACTGCAGCGCCTTTAGTGAACCCCAAGCCAAGCTGCCAGGAGCTCGACGTCTCTCCTCCTCCTCCTCCTCCTGCTCCCCCCCAGCCGTCAAACGTGGACCGGATTCCAGCAAATTAGGCTGCGGGCTTCAGATGATTAGCGTCGCCGGGCAGCCCAATTTACGGGCGGCTGCGGAGTACATGCGCTCGGGGTACCGCGGCGCCTCGCTGATAGGGGGGCGGTTACATGCACGGCCTGTATCCAGCACTTGCGTCAGTGTCCGCTTCGAACCCTGGGTCCCGGTAATTTATCAGGCATGGGATTGCGAATCTGGCGGCCTCAAATCAAACACGACACTGAACGAATGGGCACAGCATAGCACGATGCAATTTCAGTCCGAGGGCCTGTGTGTACTGGCCTCCTTCATGCATCCTCTCCCAAAGAGAACAACTGATAGAGCAAGCAAACGACAGCCTGTCGCAACACACCCAAATCCCCGTCTCAAGAGCTGTCGACGCTTCGCTTCTGGGCACTCTTCCCCGCAAGCCAAACCTGCGGCCTATTAGACAGAGATGAGGGAGGGGGGAGACGAAAGATATGTACTACTATCAGGGAGGAGGGAGGGAGACCCGGAATAGGGCCTGGCGAGCAATCACCTTTTTTCCCTTTTTTTTTTTTTTTTTTTTTTTTTTCAAGCTCTCTCGTCGAGACATATGGCCCCGTACATACGCAGCAGCACTTCTTGCAGTAGCCGCGAGTCCCGAACCGTCGTCCAATTCGTTTCCCGTGACTCGTCCGTCGCCAATGGCCACGCAGCAGAAGCCCGGTCATGCATCCTTGGGGCCTTTTTGGCATCACCCTTGCTGGCTAATGACAGCTTGGATGCAAGTCGTGGTGCTTTTGTCCTCTTGCAGCGCCCCCCATGTTATGGCGCAGTGGCTCGCATGCATCTACTACCTAGACTGGCCTGCTCATTCATGTGCTGATATCACTCGTCGAGACTCAAAGCATGCAGTAGACACTCCCTCAAAGTCCTGTATGAAGCAACTCAAAGTTGACCATCTCGTCATTATATCAAAAAGCTATCTACAGAGTGTATCGTCTTTAATTCAAGTGTATGGTATCTTCTCATTTCATCGTAACCAGCTCCTCGGCGCTCGTCGGGTGGATGGCCACGCAGTTGTCAAAGTCCTCCTTGGTCGCGCCCATCTTAATGGCAACGCCAAAGCCCTGCAGCATCTCGGCACTTCCCTGGCCCATGATGTGCAGCCCAACCACCTTTTCTTCGGGGCCCGCCGTGATGAGCTTGTAGCTCGTCGGACCCTTGCTCTCCGGGTCCATCATGGCGTAGTACATGGCAGTAAAGGCCGTCTTGTAAATCTTGAGGTTCTCTCTGCCGTACTTCTCAACGGCCTGCGGCTCCGTGAGGCCGACGGCGCCGACTTCGGGATGCGAAAACACGACGGACGGGATGTTCTCGTAGCTCAGCTTGAGGTTTGAGAATTGAGGGGGTCCAAAGAGTCGGTGCGCGAGACGGCGTCCGGCGGCGATGGCAACCGGCGTCAGCTCAACCTGGCCGGTTACGTCGCCCAGCGCGTAAATGTTGTCGACGCTGGTGTTCTGGTAGTCGTCCACGACAATGTATCCCTTTTCGTTCAGCTTGACGCCGGCCTCTTCCAAGCCGATGCCCTTGGTCAAGGGGGTTCGGCCGACGGCCCAGATGAGGTGGTCGACATCGTGGACGGTGCTCTCGTTGCCCTCTCCGTCGCGGTACGTGACGGACAGCTTGCCGTTGGCGTCCTTTTCGATCTTGGTGGCCTGAGACTGCTTGTGCAGGTGCACGCCCAGGCGCTCGTACTCCTTGGTGACCGTCTCCTGGATCATGGGATCAAAGTTCCGGAGGAAGGTGTTGTATCGGATAAAGAGATGGGTCTCGGTCCCCAGCGCATTGAACATGCCGGCAAACTCGACGGCGATGTAACCGGCGCCGACAATGGCCACCTTCTTGGGCTGCTTCGCAATGTCGAAGAAGCCGTCGCTGTTGATGCCGTACTCGGCTCCGGGGATCTCGGGAGGGGGCGTGGGCTTGCCTCCGACGGCGACGAGGATCTTCTTGGCGTTGACCACCACCTTGGAGCCGTCGTCCAGAGTCACCTCGGCCTGGTTCTTGGACAGCAGGCGACCCCATCCGTGCAGGTACTCGACCTTGTCGTTTCCGAGGTTCTTCTCGTAGATGCCGTTCAATCGCTTGATGTACGCATCGCGCTTGGTCTTGAACGTCGTCCAGTCAAAGGGGGCCGTCTCCTGGACGGAGAAGCCGTAGTGTTTTGAGTCGTGGATGGCCTCGGCGAGCGCGGCGGCGTTGTAAGTGACCTTTTTGGGGACGCATCTACACGGAGGGAAGCAACAGTCAGCATACGCCGGTCACGATCTACAGAAATCATATAGAACACTCACCCAACATTGACACAGGTTCCTCCCAGGCGTGAGTTTTCCACAATCATAGACTTGACGCCGTACTTGGACGAGGCCATGCGCGCAGCGCCCAGGCCTCCGCTGCCGCCTCCGATGACGAGCCAGTCCGTCTCCTTGGTGATGGGAGCCATTGCGCGCGCTGTGGTCGATATGTGGCGGGAGAGTGAGTTGAGTCGGGTCGAAGCAATGCCTCTGGAGCCTAGTGATGGTGCTCGAGCGAGAAGAGTGAAGGGTTGCATGGACAATGAGTCTTTTGAGCTGACAGCTTCCACACCCTCCGTCTTATATATACTTGTGGTGTTGAGTAGGAGGGGCAGTTTTTTTTCTCTTTTCAATTTTCTGAACCAAAGGAGTTGCTCCCAAAGCGGGGAGAAGGGGGGTGGGAGCGACAAATGACGTTCCCACAAGCAGCAGCTCGCCGAAGATTACTTTACCTACCTGAGATCAAATGCCATTAGTATTGCGGGTTGATTACCTAGTAGGCGCTTGCAACATGGTAACCCACTAGAAGCCTCTCTTTGCTGACCTGATGCTCGGCTCGAAAAGCACCAAACGTTTTCAAGCCGAAGCCGCTGATTCCATCCCACCCACCCACACACGTCGTTGGGACGAGCTTCCCCAGCCTTGTCGGGGCCACCGAAACGACGCCGTCTGATTTGCGCGCCGTTGGATTAGGAATCCGCCCTGCCCGTTAGCCAGATGTGCTTTTCGCCGTCTGTTTTCCAAATACTGTTAGTAGATGGATGTGGCTGAATTTGGAATTTCGGCACAAGGGACCAGAATGACGATGCAAAGAGTCGACGACCGAGCTGTCGACATGCGGGCTTCAAGTTACGTCATCTACTCTGGACTTGAGACCTACCCTGATATAATCTAGAAATCGAGACAATCCATTTAATCTGTTATGCTCTTCCCTCGAGTGAAAAGCAAAGATACACAAGGGTCAAAGCATGGACGTCAAGTCACATAGCGAAATGGTCAGACATGTCATACTCGTACCTATTATGGAAACAGCTCGGCTCGAAGGTCGAAATATCTCATCCTAGAACTATCATTTGTCATCCACCCACCACCCGGATCAGTTCGGAGGAACCACCAGCACCACCTGGTTGAAAGCAACACACAACCAGCCATCCAAATCCTTCCGGGCGATCTCCGTGCTCCTCTTTTCCCGATAGTACATATCTACTACCCAGTAGTTATCCATCTTTGATACGGAAGCAAACGCCGCCTTGGCCGCTGTCGTGCGGCACCTCAAACATGTCCCAACCCCCACCACAGCTTCGCCCGATTGTCGTCTGAAGGATTCCCATCGAGAGCCCTATCAGGACCCAGTACCGACTCTTTCACAATGCATCCCTCGCGATGGTTCATATTTTGCCGAGAAAGCTGGTGAGGTGTTGACATCAAGACATGTTGTTCCATCCAACGACGTACTCTACTCGTTCTTTCAGATCTAGGTTATGTATACAGACGAGGCTGAAGTCATGCTTACATCTCCCTCATCGTCAAGCTTCAGCCACCCATCAAGCCCAGCAGTCATTCATCAATCCTATATTTTACACAAGATGCCAATGCATAGTAATGTCCAACCAGAAATCAGGCCTCTCGAACTGTCAAAAAGCGGAAAATAACAAAAAAAGAAAAAAAGAAATTGAATCGACACGGGCCTGATTCGAACAGGCGCTCCCGAAGGAACATGATTTCGAGTCATGCGCATTAGACCACTCTGCCACCGTGCCGGAGATGCCAATTGACTGTACTAATTGTGTATATAACAGTATCTACAGATTGGGATGATTGCTGTGCTTGATTTTTCCTTTTTCGGTGTGCAGAAGCTCGATAGAACTTCCACTCTCGTGCTCGTTGACCTGCCACGGGGAAGCCAAGATAAATTCTACAGCACTGCGTACCTTGGCTTACCGAGAAACTATAGTGAAGAAAATGAATATGTCGACCTGAAAAAGTCATCTTCATGAAACGAAATACTCGGATTTGAGCTTCTATATTCAAACGATGCCTATGCGATTTCAATGCTCTAACTTGCTAAGGCGAGATCCCCGGCCAGCTCCAATATACCAAAGTTGGCTCAACCCAATTTCCATCGCCTCATGCCATCTTCTTTAATCACTGTCAGACCCAGAACTGCTAGTCTCGTCATCACTAGTATCATCAGCCTCATCCTCGTCCAAGCTCTGCTCGGCAATCACTTCGTCAACCTCCGTGCCATCCACAGTCTTACTGCGGTCGTCATCAGGGTCTCCATCGTCTCCCAATTCGCCCTCCTCAACGTCTTCCCCATCCGCCCGTCTCTTCCGCTTGGCAGGTCGGCCACTATCTCTTCCTTGCTCCGGTCCATTTTTGCGTTTCGCGTTCTGTTGCTGTTCCCCCGTGTGCGAAACGACATCTTTCGGACCCAGCACGTAGCCAGCTGGCAAGGCCTCCCCCTCGCGCAGAACATATATCGTCGGGAACTCGAGCACTCTGGTATTACGAAGAATATCTCCAAGGCATTCTTCCGGCGGAATGGACGTAAGGGTGACGAGTCGATCGGGTCGCTTCCGGGTGCTTTCGAGGAAGAACTGAAACTGTCGTCGCTGTAGCTCGTCCTTTGCCTGTGGCCACTCGTCGATCGATGGGGTTGTGACGCAAAACCAGCGGCCAGTCTGAGGATCTTGAAGCGAATCGACCGCCACGTGCCAATGGGCATCGGGAGAGGTTTGCGCAACGCTCTTAAAAGGCCTCCTCTGCACCTTGCCCTCGGCCTTTGCTTGTGTCGCCAACAGCGCGCTGTATCCCTTGTACAACGGCACATCGTCCAAAAGCTTCGACAGAGCCCTCGACTTGCTCACTTGTGTCGAATCGGCGCAGCTCCGCTCAAAGGTAAACCACTCCACCTGCCAATTGATCTTCCCAGGCCGTCGGCTCACCGTCGTGTGGTTTTCCCTATGCCTCGTCATGCCCTGAGGCGCAGACACAAGCACAGTGCCTTGCTTCTTGAGCTTGCTCGCAAGCAGCTTGTCCATCAACCTGTCCCTATTCTGCTTCAGGACCCGTGTCACCAAGACCTTGCGCCTCCTCCCGTCTCGGCCTACCTTCCACCTCACCTCCTCCACCGTCAGCGGCCGCAGCTCGTCCTTTTGTATGATGCCCTTGTCTTCCACAAAGACCCGCTCGGCGCGCTCGGACTCCATCTCGATCTTGTGCAGGAAGTTGTAGTCATGGTCGATGCCCGCCGGGGTGGCCAGCTTCGACTTGGCGACGTAGGCGGTTTGGTCGCGCGCGCCGCTGCACTGGGACCAGCTCTTGTGTTTCGCGACGCAGGCGAGGGAGCAGGTGGCGATGCCGCAGCGGGGACATTTGTACTTCGGGGCGTTGATGTGGCAGATGCCGCAGAGGGAGGTGAGCACCGCGTCTGCCATTTCGTCAATTGTAGCGGGCGGTGCCTGCAAAATGGAGAGTGTGATGATGATGAGCGAGCGCGGTCTCTTTCTCTAAAATTCTCCAGGAACTTGCATGATGCGCAGCTCTTATCGGAAATTTCCCTAATCTTGGCGGAATCTGTGGGGCAGCGTCCAATTCTGCTCCACTCCCGTCGGCCCGGCTCCTTCCCGTGTCGTTTCAGTCACTCTTCGCTCCTTGGTTAAAGTACGTTGGTACTTCACGCGTTGTACGGAGTACAAGACAGAGCATATCGCTGGCCATAAGGCGGCTATTCGTACACACAAGGCAAAGAAAGGATCACTCGTATTGAGACCTGAATAGATACATTTCACAAACAAAAGAAGAAGTCTAAGCATGCAATTACAAAACATCTACGGAAAGCCCACAAACAGTCTAGCACAGGAAACAAACAGACTAGAGCCGCCACTTCACAATTTGTTTTAGAAAGGAAACACAGTAGGTCGATGAGCGAGAGACTCGATTGCAAAAGACTTGAACTATCAAGGTGTCATAATTTCCCAGAAAGAGGGAGGTGGAAAGAGAAAAGGACAATGTTAGTCATGAAATAGAAGAGATCCGGAACCTCGATGGCGCCACGCAAGTCATCAGTCAGCCTGCCATCACAGGGGTGCTCCCTTCATCTAGAATATAGTAAACAACAGGGGCAAGAATGGGAAAGGGAACGCAAAGAACGAACGCCGTGATCCAAAACAAGGCTGTTTTTTAATCCAAAGCCGCCACAAAACAAGAAGCGAAGCATATCTATCCGCTGAGGCCAGAAACGCTGCAGATACAAGGATATATAGCTTGGATCGCCGTATCGAAGTAGTGAATACAAAGAAAATGGGAAAAGGTGCCGCACGTAGAATCGGCGATGATACAAAGTTTTGTTGGCTAGGTTGGTGGGGCATCCTCGACCTGTTCAGTTTCAGGATCGTCCTCTTCATCAGAAATTACTCGCTCTGCGTCAGGTTTGACTTGGTCCTCAGCAAGCGGCTGCTCAGGCTCAGGCTCAGGCTCAGGCTCAGGCTCAGGCTCGTACACATCCTCTTCAGGCTTGCCCTTGTCATCGGAGACGCCCTGCTCGCCCTGCTCAACAACAGTCTCTTCATCGGAGATTGCCGAAAGCGCTGATTCTTGCTCCAGATGATCGGTGGAGAAGAGACTGCGGCTGCTTCGAGACGACTCCGTGGTGGCCGGAGACTCCGACCTGATCACTTCGGCCGTCATCGAAGTCCTCTTCATCGTCCTCGACAATCTTGGTTGGTATCTCGTCTCGAATAGAGTACTGTTGACTGGCGCGCTCTGGCGTTGTGGTGGCCGTGGACGCAAACGATAGTGCAGTGCTACTGCGGTTGGGGATGAGATCCGGCGTTGGTGGTATTGAGCTAGGCCTCCCGGCAGTTGGTTGTAAGCGAGAACTCCCCTCGCCGGCGTCCGAGGTGGCGGTGGAGCGGGCGTCCTCACCATCATCACTATGAGCAGTCGACAGGCTGCTGTGGCGGCGGCTAGCACGTGTGCTGGCTCGAGATTCGGCATCCTGGGCAAGCTGCAGGCCGTCAACGGCGGCTTGGCACTGGTCCGCAATGTTGCGAACAATGTGGGCGATCGCGTCGGTCTTATCCTTGAGGTGGCGATCGGCCAGGTCAGCAAAGCTGGATGAGGAGAGGCGGTTGCTGCTGCGAGAGGGTCGCAGAGCGTGCGCATCAACAGAGGCCCCCTCGCGCTCGTCCGACTCGTAGCCAGCCTCGACCTCGCGGATGAGCTCATCCGGCTTGGTGAGGGACTGGATGAGGTGCTCCATGTGGTGGCTCTGCCCGCCGATCAAGCTGCGCAGGTGTAGGACCACGCGGCGAGCCTCGTCGCGCTGGCGCACAATCGTGGCATTGGTGTGGTGGAGCTGGGCAAGCTCCTTCTTGTTCCTCTTGCGCTCACGCTCGAGCTCTTCGGCAATCTCCTGCTGCAGGACGAGGGCCTCGAGAGCATCGTCACGCTGCTTCTCCGTGCCGTTGAGACGAGTGGCAAGGCGGTTGTTGTCGTCCTTCTGCTGGTCAATGAGAGTAGCCAGGCGGCGGTTCTCGCGCTTGTGGTTCTCAATCTTGACCTTGAGGTCCTGCGTCTCCTTGGTGAGCTGCTCGGCAAAGGCCTGGAACTTGAGGAACTGCTGCTTCCAGCTCTCGAGCTCCTCCACGAGATAGTTATTCCGCTTGGTAACCTTGCCAAGCTCGGTGTCCATGCGGCCCTTCAAGTTGATAAAGTCCTGCCAGGCCTCGAGAGCGTCTCGAGAGTACTGGTTCCTCTCGCGGACAAGCTCGTTCAGATGACGCATCGACACCTTGGTCATGAGGGGCTTCTTGACGGAGCCGCCAAAGACAGCCTTGATGCCCGAGTTACGGCCCATCTTCTCGCACACATGATCCATGACGGCCATGACGGCATCCTGGTTCCACCATTCGGGATCCTGGATGGACTCGACCTCACCACGCATGACAATGATCTGGCCAGCAGGCACCAGCTTGCCACCGCCATAAGCGGAACGCAGGTGCTGGGGCACTCCAGAGGGGGTAACGTCGCCATTGAGGGCCTGAGTCAGACGCGAGACAAACTTGTTGCGCTGGCCGGGGGACAGAGCGGTGGGAGGGCTGGATGTGAGAACAAAGTTGCGGTCCAAGTCGATGACCAGAGCATCGGTAGGGGCCGTGAAAAGGGATCGGCACTCGGCAGTGACGCCCAAGATGTACGGACCAGGCTCTTGGACGAGCTCCTTGGCGTGGCGAGCGTGCACGACGGGGACATATAAGCCGCTCCACTCGAAGACTCGCACGCAGTATCTCACAGTCTCCGAGGCAATCGTGAGCATGGCCGGATAGTGACTGACGAAGATGATGCGGCGAGTGGGGGAGATGGCAGCCTCAATGACGCCAACAATGTTGGGGATGGACAGGCAGTTGAAAAGGGGCCACATGGCAAAGTTCTGGAATCCGGTAGGGGACGAAGGGAACTGGTAGCAAAGAGCATAGTCCTTCATGTCGATGCGGACAAGATCGTTCAGCCTCGGAGCCGGGAAGCTCAGAATTCGAGACACCTCCTCGGCATGGAACAGGTTAGTGGCCTTGTTCCAGTGAATCCACATGCCACGCAGGTAGTCGCCCAGCAGGTTGTACAGAGGGTAGCGAGACAGGAAAGACAGGCAGTATGGGATCCAGTACGTCTCCTCCGGGTTGTCATAGTAGTCGGTTTCGGTCCTCTTCCTCAGCTCACGGATCGTCTCGGCCCTCTTCTCGTCGGCCCGCGACCAGACGCGCAGGCATATGCCGTAGAGCGTATGAGAAGAGTCCTGCTGGAGGACGAAGGAGTGGTGAGTGCAGTGGGGCTGGTTCCGGCCAGTACAGATTTCGACGTCGTGAGGGAAGCAAGCCTTTGTTCAAGCCAGTGTTAGCGCGCAACATACAGCGGGTGTGATCGTTTATCAAACATACCCTCATAGAGGCGTGCAGAGCCCGCGCAGTCTCGTTGTCCTGCTCAAGACGGGGGCTGCTGCCAAGGATCTCGGGGAGCCAGAATTGCCCAACAGCGCCCTTCATGTGGGTGATTTTGCCCTGGGCGGGAGCGGGAGCCTTGACCCATTGAGAGGGCTCACGACCGACACCGCAGACCATGTAGGCATGAGTGAGCGTCTTGGGGGTTCGCTGCTGGGGCTTCTGGACCAAGGTGGAGGGAATGGGCTGAGTGATGCGAGAGTGCAGCGATGAGGTACGGCTGGGTATCATCATGGCTGGGTCGGCGCCGGCCTGGTCGCGGGTGCTGGGCCGGCCATCACGGTCGCCAGTTCGGGGGCGCGTAAACGAAGGACGTGTGTTGAGAGAGGGAGACATGGTGGGCGGCTTCGATATCGTTCTCAGGATCGGTTGGCTCCCACGGAAACGCTCTGGGCTCTCGCTCTCAGTCGAAGGAGAAGAGCTGAAGTCGAGCTGGGGGGGTCTCAGCGGGCCATCCGAAGTGCTTCTGGATCTCACGGAGACGTGGTGAAAGGGAATGACGATGCCTCAGCAGGCGGGCTGATGCCTGGTGAAGAAAGGAAGAAAGAAAACGGTGCTAGCGGACGACGTCAAGTGGTCCGTACGAAGAGAAGAATAGAATCCCGTACAGAACGAGAGGGAAGCAGCAGGAGGAAGAGAAGAGACAGGATCAGGCGACGCGAGGCGAGGCGAGGCCCGGGAAATAGAAAAGGAGTCTTGGGGCGAACGGGGGGGCGCCATTCACGCTGCAGCTAATCACCTAACACGCCTGTTAGTGCTGGCAGCTAGCGGAGCAGGTACCTGCGGCTCGCTGCGACTGGGGCCGCTGCAGCGCCGTCAAGTGCTGTTCAGGGGCGGGTCTGCATGAAGCATGGGGCACCGACCAGGGACCCCTGACGGCCTCTCCACCCGCTGTGATATTTTCCCCTCTGCTGTCGGTATTAGCCAGAACAGCGCTTCCCCAGCGGGCATGGAAGCTTGACGAGACAAGATATGATGGGCAGAATGGTGCAACAAGGACGAGCTAGCCCAGCCTCGAGGGCGGCGCACAACCAAAGAGTGCAAGTGGTCGGCAATAGCGCGCGGCGCGCGAGATTAGTTGGCCGAGCTGGCGTGGGACAGAACATGAGGCCGGCTGAATGAATCAAGTCGGTCAGTCATGCTGCGGAGGAGCTGTTTTGTTCAAGGTACAGTTCGGACTTCAGCCTCACCATGTCTCCATCGTGCTCAATGGACCTTCAACCCCGTGCGTCCGAACATGCAAGCAAGCAAGCAAGCAAGCAAGCAGGTCATATACCCGTTCGTGCTTCTCGTCCCTCCTGAGACTTGTCTGTCTTCCCCCCCGGGAGCCGCAGGGAGCGCCTCTTGCTGCGTGCAATCTACCGGCCTTCTGGGCAATGTCCAGGTTGCCAGGCACCGACTGCTGCTTCTCTGCACGAGGGCGACAGGGGGGCCATGCA